TGCCCAACATCTTCCCCATCGACGAGAAGCAGGAGGTGCTGGAGATGGTGCGTCTGGCGGCCCAGGGCGGCAATCGAAACATTGACGTGTCGCCGCTGCAGGTGTTCTCGTTCTTCGTGAATCGCTGCAAGCAGAAGCTGCACGTGGTGCTCAGCTTCTCGCCCATCGGCGATGCCCTGCGCACCCGCGTCCGGCTCTATCCGTCGCTGGTGAACTGCTGCACCATCGACTGGTACGACAGCTGGCCGGAGGAGGCGCTGCAGATGATCGCCAAAATGTCGTTGGTGGACGTGAATGTGCCCTCGGAGGAGATCAAAATGGCCATTGTCGACACCTGCCAGTACTTCCACACGACGGCTGCCCGTGCCACGCGCGCCTTCTGCCAGCTGACGGGGCGCCACATCTACCAGACGAACGCCTCCTTCATTGAGCTCATCCGCTCCTTTCAGACGCTCATCGACCTCAAGCAGAGCGAGACCATGTTCGCCAAGATGCGCTACATCGGCGGGCTGGACACGCTGGCCAATGCGGCGGCCGCCATCTCGATTATGCAGCGCGACCTGAACGCACTGCAGCCAAAGTTGGTGGCCCTGGCGGAGGCCTCGCGCAAAATGATGCTCGAAATAAACAAGGAAACGCTGGCGGCCAGTGCTGCAGCCGAGCAGGTGAAACGGGACGAGGAGGTGGCCTCCGTGCAGGCGGTGGCCGCGCAGGTGCTGAAGAACGAGTGCGAAAAGGATCTGGCCAAGGCCATTCCCGTGCTGGAGGATGCCCTGGCTGCCCTGAACACACTGAAGCCCGCCGATATCACGCTGGTCAAGTCGATGAAGAACCCCCCGCTGGTCATTAAGCTGGTGATGGCGGCGGTGTGCGTGATCAAGGGTATTCCGGCGGATCGGGTGCCCGATCCGTCGTCCGGCAAGATGGTGATGGACTTCTGGGGACCCAGCAAGCGGCTGCTGGGCGAGATGAATTTTCTGCCCGCCCTCAAGGAGTTTGACAAGGACAACATTCCGGTGGAGACCATGAAGCGCATCCGCAAGGAGTTTATACCCAACAAGGACTTCGATCCCAAGGTGGTGGCCAAGGCGTCGAGCGCGGCCAAGGGCCTCTGCCAGTGGATCATCGCCATGGACATGTACGACGACGTGGCCAAGGTGGTGGCGCCCAAAAAGGCCAAGCTGGCTGGCGCCGAAAAGGAGTACGCCGACACCATGAGCTTCCTCGCCGAGAAACGGGCCCTGGCCGCCGCGCTCGAGGAAAAGGTGGCTCTGCTCAACATTGAGCTGGACAAGGCCAACGAGGAGATGAAGAAGACCGAGGAGCATGCCGAAAACTGTCGCAACAAGCTGCTGCGTGCCGAGGCCCTCATCGGGGGACTGGGCGGTGAGAAGTCGCGCTGGAACAAGGCGGCCGACGACCTGCAGGATCTGTACGATCATCTGCCTGGCGATGTGCTGCTGTCGTGCGGCATCATTGCCTACCTGTCGGCCGTCAATCTGCAGTCGAGAACGGAGTGCGTGAACGACTGGTTCCAGAAGGTGACGAGCCTGAAGATTCCCTGCTCGAAGAAGTACTCGATCACGGAGGTGCTTGGCCTGGAGGTGACCATACAGAACTGGCAGCTGGACGGGCTGCCCAACGACGAGTTCTCCAGCGAGAATGCCATCATAGTGTCCAGCTCCAGTCGCTACAGCCTCTTCATCGATCCGCAGGGCCAGGCCAACAACTGGCTGAAGAACATGGAGCGCAAGAATCGGCTGAACTGCGTCAAGTTCAATCAGGGCAACTACATGCGCGTCATCGCCGAGGCCATGGAGTACGGCACGCCGGTGATCATTGAGAACGTGCAGGAGGAGCTGGAGGTGCCGCTGGATCCCATACTGATGCACCAGACCTTCGTACAGGGCGGCGTGAAGCACATTAGCCTCGGCGAGGCGGTGGTGCCGCTGTCGCCCAACTTTCGCCTGTATATGACCTGCAATCTGCGCAATCCGCACTTCCTGCCAGAGACCTTCAACAAGGTGACGGTGATCAACTTTGCCCTCACCCAGAACGCACTGATGGACCAGCTGCTGAGCATTGTGGTGGCCAAGGAGCGGCCCGATCTGCAGGAGCTGCGCATCACGCTCACCACAGAGGCGGCGGCCAACAAGGGGGCGCTGCGTGATGCCGAGAACTTGATTCTGAAGACACTGTCCGCCAGCGAGGGCGACATACTCGAGAATGAGGCGGCCATCCAGATTCTGGGCGAATCGAAGGGTCTGTCCAAGGACATCCAGGAGAAGCAGGAGGCGGCCAAGGAGACATCCGCCAAAATAGAGGCCTTCCGGCTCAACTACAAGCCGGTGGCCGTGCACTCCTCCATTCTGTACTACTCGATCACGGACCTGCCCAACATCGATCCCATGTACCAGTTCTCGCTCAACTGGTACATCAACCTGTACATGTACTCGATCGACTCGGCCAACAAGTCAAAGGACCTGCCGCGCCGCATCAAGTTCCTGGTGGATGGATTCACCAAGAATCTCTACAACAACGTCTGTCGCTCCATCTTCGAGAAGGACAAGCTGCTCTTCTCGTTCATACTCACCGCGCGCGTGCTGCTGGGCACGGGCCAGGTGGAGATGCGGCATCTGGCGCATCTGGTGACCAATGCCAAGGAGTCCAGCCACATGCCGCCCAATCCCGATGCCAGCTGGATCACAGAGACCGTCTGGCTGAACGTGCTGCGGCTGGAGGAGCTCAAGGAGCTGCGCGGCATTGTGGATGCGTTCCGAAAGAATCTGCCGGCATGGCAGGCCATCTACGACCATGCCTCGCCGGAGCTGCAGCCGCTGCCGGCGCCGTGGCACGACAAGACGACCGCCTTCGAGAAGATCATTGTGCTGAAGGCCCTGCGTCCGGACTCAGTCTTTCTGGCGGTTCGCAATTTCATTGCCATCACCATCGGGGATCAGTATGTGTCGCCGCCAGAGTTTGACATATCCAAGTCGTACGCCGATTCGACCGCCCTGACTCCACTCGTGTTCATCCTGTCGCCGGGCGCCGATCCGCTCGGCTCCCTGCTGGCATTCGCCGAGAAAATGGGCCAGGAGGAGACCTTTCAGAGCATCTCGCTGGGCCAGGGCCAGGGCCCCATTGCCACGGCCCTCATCAAGAGTGCCCAGGAGATGGGCTACTGGGTGTGCCTGCAGAACTGTCACTTGGCCGCCTCCTGGATGCCCGCCCTGGAGTACATGTGGGAGAACATGGACACCTTCAACACAGTTCGTAAGTGCTGCGGCCAGCCTCTCCTCTCAATCCTCTTTTAAACGTCTCCTTTCTTTGCAGCCAATTTCCGGCTCTGGCTGACTGCCTATCCGACGCCCCAGTTCCCGGTGACCATTCTCCAGAATGGCGTCAAAATGACCAATGAGCCGCCGACTGGCCTCAGGGAGAACCTTATGCGCTCCTACAACTCGGAGCCGATCAACGAGTACGAGTTCTATGCGGGCTGCGCCAAGCAGGATCGCGCCTTCACGCGACTGCTCTACGGCATCTGCTTCTTCCATGCCGTGGTCCAGGAACGGCGCAAATACGGACCACTCGGCTGGAACATTGCCTACGGATTTAACGAGTCTGATCTGCAGATCTCTGTGCTGCAGCTGAGCGTAAGTGTTTGACAGTCACTTTGCATGAGTCCAAAAATGAGGTGCCACTCCACTCCACTTTCCTGCTCCTGCAGATGCTGCTCAACCAATACGAGCACGTGCCGTACGATGCCATCTCGTATCTGACCAGCGAGTGCAACTATGGCGGCCGTGTGACGGACAACTGGGATCGTCGGGCGATCGTCACGATACTGGCGGACTTCTGCAATCCCCAGGTGGTGTCCGACAATCGGTATAAATTTGCCACAGACGACCGCTACATACTGCCGCGCAAGACGGAGCATCGTGAGATGCTGCGCTACCTGGAGGACAACATACCATCGCTGGCGCCTCCCGAGGTGTACGGCCTGCATGCCAACTCGGGCATAACGCGAGATCTGCAGACGACAAAGACGCTGCTGGACTCGATGATTCTGTTGCTGGGCAGCGAGGCGGCGGGCACCGCTGGCGCCGGCGTCAGTGTCGAGCAGATAATTCTGAACACCATTAAACAGATTGAGGGGGATATGCCGGCGGACATGGACATTGAGGCGGCGGCCGAGAAATATCCCGTGGACTATAACGAGTCCATGAACACGGTGGTGGTGCAGGAGATGGAACGCTTCCTCAAGCTGCAGAAGGAGATACGTGCCTCCTGCCGGGACCTGGCCATGGGCATCAAGGGCATCCTTGTCATGACTCCGGATTTGGAGAACGTGATGACGGCCATGAAGTTCAACCGCATACCGCTCAAGTGGATGTCCAAGTCGTATCCCAGCCTCAAGCCGCTGGGCTCCTACGTGCAGGATCTGTACAAGCGCCTCAACTGGCTGTTCCACTGGCACCTGCACGGCAAGCCGCCCACCTTCTGGCTGTCGGGCTTCTTCTTCACCCAGGCCTTTCTCACGGGCGCCATGCAGAACTATGCGCGCAAGTACAAGATCCCCATCGACACGCTGACCTTTGACTACGATGTGCTCAAGGTGGAGACGAAGGCGTCGCCCCCGGACGATGGCGTCTACTGCAACGGGCTGTTCGTGGAGGGTGCACGCTGGGAGTGGGACCACAACATGCTGGTGGAGCAGCATCCCAAGGTGCTGATCTATGCCATGCCCGTCATCTTCTTCCGGCCCGTACTCATTGTGGAGCTGGTGGAGGGAACGCGCTATCGGTGTCCCCTGTACAAGACGGGCGAGCGCAAGGGCACGCTCTCCACGACAGGCCACTCGACGAACTATGTGGTGCCGCTGCTGCTCAATACCCACGCGAAGCCCTCGCACTGGGTCAAGCGGAGCGTGGCCCTTATCTGCCAGACCAACGACTGAGCAGCGAATCAAAAGTATTCTCAATACATGTGTGTGTGTGTGTGTGTGTGGTTTATTAAACATTGTTCCAAATTAATATAATATATAATATATAGGTATGTATGCTTATTCTACGCAAGTACAAATTCACAGCATTGAAAACGCCTTCAAAAACAAACAAAGGAGAGACTACGGTCACTACATCTCGCAGATATCAATCCAACTGCAAATGCGAGCCCCGAAACTTTAAAAGTGCAGCCCACCCACTCGCCCCAATCGCCCCACTCGCGATGGGGAACTATTGTAACTAAAACTTTGGATGGTGTCGCCTATTGCGTGTTGCAGCCCGTGTTTAGGCCGGCATAGGCTTCATCATCAGCATCATCCGAGCTGTTGCCGTCGCGCCCGTACACGGAACTGTCATCGCTGGCTGAACTGCTGGCACTGCTGCTGTTCTCTTCGTGCTGTGGCAACGATCCGGGTGCGGCATCCGCATCCGCATTTGCATTTGCAGCTGCAGCTACACCACCACCACCACCTATACCAAGGCGACGACGTAGGCGACGATTACGAAAGCGTGCCATGACGCTCCCATCCCCCATAAATTGACGAAAAAATAGTTGGAACTGATGGCTGGCATTGTCGTCGCCAACGGTCTCCCAAATGCTGCGTCGAAAGTTCCTATAGAGCGTATCCCGCAGACCCTCCGATTTCGGAATGTGCTGCAACTGAATCGTAAGAAATCTATTCCGAAAAATTACCATTTAGGCTGTGACTCACCTTTCCGGGCGGCGGATCGGACGCATGGGGCGTCCAGATTTTCACATTATGCTCCAGCCCGGAAGTGGCCAGCACTGGCATCCAGGGATGCGGCTCAAGGCAGTTGACCACACCCGCAATGTCGCCCTTCATGTAGTTAACGATGGACTCTGTGTTCCTGTCCCAGAAGAAGATGTGGCCGCAGTCGCTGCCACTGATCACGTACTCGGAACGTGGTCCAAAAAAGTTAACGCCCTTGATGGTGCGATGGTTTCTGTGTGGTGTGCCAGGCGGCAGGAGAACAGGAACAGGAGAACATACCACAATAATCTAGACCAAATGAGCTCGCTCAGAGATGCAACTGTCACTTACACGTGCCCCTCGTAGCAGTGGAGAGTCTCGCCCTCCTTGTAGTTGCGGCTGTCATAGAGAAAGATGCCGGCATCGCTGTAGGAGGCCAGGATTTCGCTTCCACTGTGATTGTACACGGCGCAAGTGACTTGCGTGATCTTTGTCTGGCACAAAACGAAAAGATGACACAAAATGTAAGATGATAAGTCCCTCCCCGTTTGGGGTGTACAATTTGCTCACCTCCCGAACGCCTCGGGGCGTCATCTCGTGGATGGGCTCTGGCAGCTTGCGCTTATCGTAGACACGCAGATTGTCATCAGCGCCGCTGACACAAAACTCGGGCGCAAACGGATGATGGGAGATGCTGAAGAGACGGACGCGGCTCCGTCTCTCGGGCTCGGTGTAGTTGCAGCGCAGCATGGTGTTGGCCGATGTGCTGGTGCGGAGATCAAAGTGCTTGACTGCTCCATCCTCGCCGGCGCTCATCACCTCGTGCTTGGTGTGCGGCACCACAACGAGCTTGTGCACGGCATCGCTGTGCGTGTAGAGTCTCGTGGGCTTAGTGTCACCCCCGGATGGAGGTATGACGGCGCGTCGCACCTGCCCATCGCGACTGGTGGACACAATGTCCAGGCAGCCGGCACTGTCGATGAACTTTGTCTGGAATATGTTCGTGTGGTGGCCAGACTTGAAGCTATGCAGTGGCTTGTTGTTGGCCCAGTCCCAGACAATGATTCGTGTGTCGTCGGAGCCGGAGCAGAGCAGATCCCCGGCCCGATTGAAGTTCAGGCAGTTCACACAGCCGTTGTGTTTGATCATCGTATCCCAGAGCGACATCTGCTCGACGACATGCCTCGATCCGTAGAAGCCACGCCCGAAGCTCTGGGCAGAGGTGTGCCCGCCGCGCCACTCAATCCGATTTATTATATTGTGTTCGCGCTGCATCAGCTCATGGGCCGAGTTCCAGGTGTATGGCGGTTTATCCTTGTACAAGATTTCGTTCACGGCAAAGTCAATGTTCTCCCGGTCGGCCGCATTTGGCTCCGGTTCAATCCAATCGCTGTGTTCAGCCTGGTGCCCCGCCCAAAGGAGAAGCGAGTTAAAAGCGAAGCGAATGGAACTTTCGGTGAACTTACCAGGCCACCATCACTGGAGGTGTTGCTGGTGGAGCTGTCGTAGTGGTTCCAAAAGTCATCCTCCCCGCGACTGTGGTTGGTATCGCCGTCACTTGATGTGTGATCGTCGTCGGGGTTGGGGATTGCCGCCTCTGCGGTTTCCTCGGCCTCTTCATCCACACTGGGAAGCACTGGGGCGACAGCAGACTCACTATCGCTGCTGGTCTCCAATGTGGCCACAAGTTCCACGGTTATGCGGCGATATGAACGTGTGGATGGTATGTTGCGCTGGTTGAATGTGGGCGAAGTGTGAGTGTCATTCGAAGTTCCGGGATTCACTTCAACTTCTGACGGCTCATCATCATCGCTGTCGATTGCCTCACTGGCATTGGCAACAGTATCTGCGGCAAGCACAGCACTGGCTGCCGCCGGAGACAGTACACCCTGCACGAGAGTAATCCCTGTGGCCGCCTCCTCGGGCGGATTCATTGGTTCGTCGTTGCCCTCTGCTGCCTCTCCCTGTGGCAAAATCTGCTTGCTGCTCATTCCTCCCTCTCTGTTGCTATCGACGCCGTTATAATCGTTGTTGCTTGTGTTGGTGCTGCTGTAGTTGTCGGTTCCTATTTCAGTCTCGCTTACGACTGCAGTTTTCTCTTCGCTGCTTTTTGCCCAAACCCAAACAAAAATCAATCAAGAACTACGCACTTGTTGGAGGGTCGTGTACTTACACAGCTGGTGCTGCGGCGGAGTCCACGTCCATGGTGGCATCTCCTGCAACGGAGCGGCTGCTGGAGCTTTCATCTTCGTCGCCTGAATCTTGACGCTTCTGGCGCTTGCGCGCGGATGCCGCTTCGGCATTACTATCCTCATCAGGATCCATCCTGCAACCTCACAATGGTGTCAATTGTTCGCTGTAACAAGTGCACCTGCTTCCGCTTGACGATTCTTTGCGATTTTCCTTTTATCAAGTGTACGCAGTGCAGTAGTTGTTTATGTCCAAAATGAAGGCAGTGATGGCAAACCAAACAAATATTCAGGGCTGCGTCTTCAATCGTTTGGGCGCGATTATTCGATACCCTTGATGCACTATCGATTTCTCTGGCTACAAATCACGGCACCGATACGAGTCGTGCTTTCCGTGTTTTTAAAATTTTGTAAATCTTCAAATTTTTTCCTGAAAGCCGCACTTGACACTTTAATAACCGGACATGTTGTTCCTAATTTTAAAATTTCGTAACGTTTGCGTAAACAAAACAAAAAAATTGAAATTAAATTTAACAATCCAAAGGGAATTATTTTTGCTGGGTTCATAAAATTCCCGAGACGACACGACTCAAAACATTTTTCTTTTGAGAAATGTTTCCCAAAGCCCCCTGGTTTTGACATAATATTTGTTACATGTTCGTTACAAGGCTGAAAATTAAGAGTGCCGTTAGGTATCTGAGCGCTGAAATGTTTTCCGTTTATTTATTAAATTCAAGAAATATTGTTTGATTCTCTTAGGTTATTCTATGCATGCTCTGAGCGTAACTCCGACTTGGTTATGGACTCTTTGGCTTGAGAGCTTGCCAATGCTGGGGGGATGGTGGTTCGGGGCTGGAGCTTGAGTTCGGCTTCAGTTGCTTTATACGCATATCAATTTAACGCTGTGGCCACGACGACGACGACGACGAGTTTTGTTGTTCAGTTAAATGCGGAAAGGCGACGAAGGCGGTACAAAGTTTGACGACGGCGCGTGCGTGGCAGCCAGTTAAAGCGAAACAGAACCAAAATAAAATTAAACAAAATAAAATAAAACATAAGCATCAGGCAATAAAAAATCGTACGTGTACCAGCAACTCAAATCGAAGACACTGAGGCGTAGTGGAGTAGTGGAGTGGCTCCACTTGTTGTGCTTTCCATTAACGAATATCTTGTGCGACGACTTCGAATTCGCCCAGCCCAATGCAGTGTTGGGGTTTCTCTCTCTCACACTGCAGTGTGTGTGTGTGTGTTTACGTGCTAATTGGCTTTCCACTTCCTCTCCCTCTCGTCAGGCTGCACATGCGCAACACAGCCAACATAAACATAACGTTCGATACCCTATACCGCCGAATCTGCCCAACTTCCTGTATATTATATATACATATGTACATACGTGCGTAGTTGAATCTTCTGTTGGGTTGTTTGCTCTGCTCTGATGTTTTCCTCTCGATTTCGTTGATATTCGTATTCTGATTCCGTTTTCACATGTTCCGCGGCTTCTTTTATATGGGTTCAACGCGTGATGAACGCCCGATTCCGGTTTGGTCGAGCCTCGAGGCTAAACAAAAAACAAATTAATATGCAAAACTTTAGTGGCAACGAAAAATGAGAAGAAATAAAACGCCGGAAAGTGAAACCATTTAAGACTTGCTTGCTTTTCCACCCAATTTCCACTCTAGCAAAAACCTAAGTGCACATTCATGCCATTTCTTATCAAAACATCGAAGTAAAGTTGTTTACCCACGAAACCAAAGCGAACCAGATAGCAAACTTCACAGCCAGTCGTAGCTCTGGGCGGAATAACTTGCTTGGGATGTAGTTTGGCGAATGAATGATTGTGATTCGTCAGCTTCTTTAGTTGGTCATTGCGTTGCCGTTCTGTACGATGCCGTTCTGTACGATGCACCTTGTCACCGCCGCCGGTCGCCAGCTATTTAAGGGCCTTCGGGCGAAAGTTGAGAATCAGGTTCGACAACCCACACAAATGCCGGTTCAGCGAATTTGGTTCACGTATTCCCTCTGGGATGGTTGCTGAAATGACTTTGTAACTGTATGGAATGAATACCAGTATTCCAGAGCGTCAGAAACAAAGACAAGTCTTTGATTACATTCTGAGTGCATGGCAATTGTGGCATTGGCATGACTCACAATTTCAGTGATTTCCTCTCCCAAGAATTCTTTTGCCTTTCACTTTTCAGCATGCCCTCCACGAGTGCAGGGGGGCGGCCCGTTCAATTAAAGTCCGTAATTGAACGGAATTGGAATTATGAAAATGTATCACATTGTCGCTACAATGTGGCGCTTGACCACGCAAAACATTCAATTCGATTCTCATGTCTCTTCCCATAGATGCGAGCCGTGCGCCAGAGAGAGGTATGGGGGGAAGCACCGCAGCTGTTGCTGCTCCTGCTGTTGGCATCCGTTTCGTGCACATTATGGGCTTCAGTGACCGCCAGGACGGGTGAGTCTGACCGCAAAAAGGGGTTGTTGTTGTTGTTGCCAACATTGTTGGATCTCAATCTCACCTGCAGGTCCCTCGCACGACAAGGTGGTGGTTTGCTACATATCCACATGGGCCGTGTACCGGCCCGAGCAGGGTGCCTATGCCATCGACAACTTTGATCCCAACTTGTGCACCCATGTGGTGTATGCCTTTGCCGGCCTGGACATTACGCAGGCGTCCATCAAATCGCTTGGTAAGGGGAGCTCAAGCACAAGCACAAGCACGTTCACGTTCGCTTGGTTTATTGCCGTATGCTAATTTCAGATCCGTGGCAGGACCTGAAGGAGCAGTACGGCAAGGGTGGCTACGAGCAGCTGACGGGCCTGAAGCGCAGCCATCCACATCTGAAGGTCTCCCTGGCCATTGGCGGCTGGAACGAGGGCTCGGCCAACTACTCCAGCCTGGTGGCCAACAATTACCTGCGCGAACGCTTCGTCAAGCAGGTGTCGAGCTTTGTGCGCAAATACAACTTTGACGGCCTCGATTTGGACTGGGAGTATCCCACGCAGCGTGGTGGCAAGCCAAGCGATCGCGAGAACTTTGTCGCTCTCACCAAGGAGCTGCGTGAGGAGTTCGACAACCATGGCCTGCTGCTCACTTCGGCCATTGGAGCGGCTAAAAAGGTGATTGACGAGGCTTACGATGTGCGACAAATATCGCGGTATCTGGACTACCTGCACATCATGTGCTACGACTACCACGGCAGCTGGGATCAGCGGGTGGGCTACAATTCTCCACTCGCTGCCCCCGCCGAGGATCCGCTCAGTGTGGTAAAAATCCTGCTAGAAAATAATCCAGCTCAAGATTTTAATTTTGCATGAAATATTTCAGAAATACACCATTGACTATCTGCTGAAGCTGGGCGCCCCGCCATCGAAGCTGGTACTGGGCCTGCCATTCTATGGCCGCACCTTCAAGACGGTGTCCGAGGGCAGTCTCAACGATGCCAGCGATGGTGTCGGCTTCCGAGGACCGTACACGCGCGAGGATGGCTTTCTGGGGTACAATGAAATCTGCAACATACTGAGCAACAAGACATCGGGCTGGACCAAGCAGTGGGACCCACAGACCAGCCAGGTGCTGGCCCGCTCCGAGCGCAATGTCTTCACGCAAGATGTGAGCGTTGTGACGTTCGACAGCTCGCGTTCCATCGCCAACAAGGTGCTGTATGCCATGTCCAAGCGTCTGGCTGGCGTCATGGTCTGGTCGGTGGACACGGATGACTTCCTTGGCAACTGTGAGCTGGATGTTGATACCTTTGAAGACTTCAAGGTGGTTAGCTCGGCCCCCCGGCGCCTCAGTCAGAGCTATCCCCTGCTGCGTACCATCAACGAGGCCACAGTGCTGGCACTGGAACAGCTGGCCGTACCGGAGCCGGTGCCAGATGATTCAGAGAACGAGATCCCTCACGGAAGCATTGCGGATCGCAAGAACGCAGCCGCCTCTCTTGTTAGCCTCAGTCTGACTGCCACGGCTCTCTTTATGCTGCTGCACAACAGTCTGGCCCATTGACAGAACGGCGCAGTGGAGCCATAGTCGTAGTAATCCCAGTTGTACTGAACAATGTTTACGTAGTCATTAAATTCCAAATTGTAATTTTAATTAAATACGCCTTTGATTTTAACGATCCTCCAGTCCGCTTGATCGATTCGATACTATCGATAGATCACGTTTTGATGCTGCAGCCCTGGTTACCATTCTACTCTGCTTGGGATTTACCGTAATTTCACAGAACTCTGGTTTTGTTGTTGTTGTTAAAATGCTTCGGATATACTTTGTTCATTAATAAATTTAACTTGCGCTCTAACATTTAACTAACTATGTATATATATATGTATACTATATATGTATATGTGTGTGTTGTGTATATGTATGCAACTATGTAAATACGCAGGTAAATATAACATAATTTGTATATAATAATAATATTCATAGATTACACTGTGCAACAAAATGGAAACTTTTGAATGCACTTTAGCACCGCGACAAAAATTAGTTTGTAGTACTGGATGAGTTTTTGAATTTTGAAAAACAATATGGTGGGGGGGGGGGGCAGAGGTTGGCAAATTCCAATTTTTGTCGCGTGCAAAGTACAAAATCGCTGTCGCACAGTGTGTTATCATTGCTACAATTTCTCAACATTCAATTCAATGCTACAATATTGTGTTACGTTACCATTAGTAAATATTCAATATTCAATATAAACTATGTGTATATACTATGCAAAGGATATTTCGCGTAAAATAGTTAAAGCAAAGTGTGCATGGCCGCCAAGGGCCTTTGAGTTGGATAGAGTGTGTGAGAGAGAGAGAGGGGGAGGAAGAATTTCTGTTCCTCTGTTTCTGGATGGCAAACATTACAAATGCGACGATATTTAGTGGTTGTGTGCGGCGGGTGGACGTGGCCGTGGATGCGTATGCGGACAAACCAAAGTGAGAGGACACTAAAGAATCGAGCGGGGACACAGGGTCCCCACTGAGTATATAATGATGATGAAACCACTGCTCCGCTCCGTCTAGACAAACACCTCGTCGCCAGCTTTGTCTCACAAACGTCCCCCGTCCGAGGACCAGTCTGAGCGATCGGCTCCTCCGCCACTCCCATAGATGTCCAGCTGCTCCCGCGAACGCGTTTTCGACTTGGATTTGTGCTTGTGACTGCCGCCGGCAATGGCCCGCTGCAGTTGATAGCTGCCCACTGGATTGTTCCGATCGTTGATCACCTCGTAGTGGGAGTCTGCGCCGACCGCTGAGGTTCCACCGCCACCGGCCATGAGCAGCTCGTGGATGTTCTTTGTGGAGCGGCGATGCGCCTCCAGGCACTGCGATTCCGAGGAGTACGGAAACGAGGCGACAAAACTTGGCGATTGCTGACCCGTCGTACAGGGCGTACACGGCGGATCGCTGGCAAAGTTTGCCGGCGGCGGCGGCAGTGATCCGCCGCAGGGCGTCGATGGCGACAGGTCGGTGAACTCAGTCTTGGCCTCCGACTCCACGGAGCACATGCTCTGGCGCGAGATCTCCTTCTGCAGCTGTTGCTGCTGCTGCTGCTGCTCCTTCATCGTGGGCATATTGAGGTTGGAGCTCTCGTAGTCATCCTCGAGCCGCGCCTGTGGGGGAATGGGCAAACGACTGCGTATCGAGTGCTCGCGTCTGCCGAATCTTTGTGCCAAATAGTCCTCGTTCGCCGAGGAGGAGTTGTTGGTGTTGGCGTTGCTCTGTGTGCTGCTGTGGCTGCAGTTGCTGTGCTGGTGCTGATGGTGGTGGTGCCCCTGATGCCGATGGGCGTTGTCGTAGTAGTTGTCGTTCTTCACGGACATGTTGCAGCAGCTGCTGACGTCCGCAAAGTAGACCTCCGACTCGGCGGGGTCCTGTAGCAGAGACCCCACCACCTGGTCCTTGGCTATGGCTCCGTTCGAGTCCTGATATCCGCTGTTCTCCACGCCCGTCGTCGACTGTAGCTGTGTCTGTGTCTGTGTACCCGCCTGAGTGGACTGCTGCTGCTGCTGTTGCTGCTGCTGATGCTGCTGCAGTGGCGACTGCTGCTCCTGTTTGGCAAACAGTTGCTGGACATTGGGCCGCTGCTGGCTGGGATTGCTCTGGGGTCCGATGCTCTTGGCCCCGGTGCCCGCCTCGATGCGTTTCTTCAGCTTCCGCGTGGGCAGCGTGTTGGAACAGCGATCCCTCTCCCTCACATTGCCGCCTCCGTCGCTGTCCGAGGGCGTGTTCTCGTACTCCACCTTCGACTTGTAGGCGGAGGAGCGTGCGGACGTCATGCCGGTCATGTTGCCAGTCATACTGCTCAGGCTCAGGCCATCCATCCGCTCCAGAGTGGCCGACTGGCCTTGGATTCGCTGCAACTGCAGCTGCTGCTGCTGTTGCTGCTGCTGGGAATGTGCGTGCGCGTGTGAGTGCTGGTGCTGGTGCTGCATCGCCTGCTGATGCAGCTGCTCCTGGGTGAGGGCCACCGTCGTGGTTGAGGGATTGCCAGCCAGACAAGCCGCCGGCTGCAGATACTGGTAGTAGCCACGCCTCGCAGGGCTGTTGGGATCGCTGTAAGGCGGCGGCGGACCCCACACGCCGTAGGGCAGGGCATTGGGCGGCGGCATGCCATTGTAGGCGGCACCCACTGCCGGCTCCTCGATCAGCATCTGATTGCCGTCCGCCGTCATGGCCGTGGCCGAGCTGAAACCATACTGGGAGTCCGGACTGGCTGCTGCCTGCCGGAATCGTCGTCCCGTGTCCGGAGTAGTGCGCTGCCATGGCATTCTCGGCCAGCTCCAGCCGCTGCTGCTGCGTCCGCCTCCTCCCGCTCCTCCCCGGTCACCGCCTCGACACTGTCCGGAGGCATCCTCACCGCCGGGATTTGGCGAATAAAAGTTGCCCGGTGGCTGAGCCGCCCAGAAGCGCTGCTCCGCTCCGCCGCCTCCGGCTGCCGCGGCTGCTGCCGCCACCGTGGCCTCGTCCCAGGGATAAGCGGTGGTCTGCATCGGCAGCGTCATCTGCCGATGGGCGTGGCACTGTTCGCAGCAGCGACAATTGAGCATCCGTCCGGGTGCCCCCAAAGCTCCCATAGAGGGTGGCGGCGCCTGGCTGGCATAGAGGGAGCGGCAGCGCAACTCCAGCTGCTCCCAGTACATCTTCTTGCGCTCATGGCTCAGCAGCTGGTAGACCAGCATGCAGCTGAAGACGGCGATGAGCACTCCGGCCACAGACAGCCCAAAGATGGCCCGCAGGCAGGAGTAGAGCGATCCATGGACAACGCCGCAGTCGGAGAGCGAGTCGAACACCAGACGCACTCCTTCTGAGGAAACAGGCAATGACATAAGTGGGGGAAGCGGAATGCATAAAAGACAGGACAACGCTTACCCTTGTCCACACGATCCACCTGGGACTCGATGAGGTCCGAGTAGCAGGTGCAGGTGCGCGTCTTCTGGGCGTACTCGCACTCCCGCAACGCCTGCAGGCGACTCATGTGCAGCACGGTGGTGGTGACCGTGACCAGGGCACAGGTGAGGGCGGAGACCAGGCCGCAGGCGCCCGACAGCTTGATCTGCAAGTCACATGGAACACGGGTTAAAGGAACGTCCCAGTGGAGCGGAGTGGAGTGGCGACACCTACCAGATAGCTGTAGCGATTCCTTCGACGGGCCAGACTCATGATGCAGATGCCGGTGAGGATGAGCAGTGTGGCGGGCACGAAGGTCGGCACCGTCTCAAAGTTGCCCACGGTGATGGTGTACGAGTGCAGCAGGAAGTAGACGCCCAGGAAGAGGACGCCAAGCAGGCAGCTAAAGCCGCCGCAGATGAGGCACCACACCACATACTTCTTGATGCCAGCTCCATGCCGATGGGCTGCAGTGGGGAGAGGGAACAGAAAAGAACACACAAAATCGGCAATCAGTTTGGGTATTAGAGGAGTCGAGAGCCAGTACCACGATGATGGGCATCCACATTGCCGGAGGACGGGGGCGGAGCGGGCACCCAGGAGCAGGGCGGCGGCATGCTGTACTGCACGAACTGCATCACCGGATAGCCGTGCATTTTGGCAGGGATTTGTTGCTGGAAGCCTTGCGGTCGTCTCGCGTCTAACACTGGCCATAAACTGGCTGGCCCTACGCCCACATGGTGGCTCTGGCCAGGACGCGGAAGAGCATGCAGCAGAGGATTCCCTGAACTGAACACGTTTTCGCAAGCTCAGTTCCGCAATTGCTTCTATTTTTCTTTTGGTTTCGCCTTCCCTTCCACTCGTCACTCGCTTTTCTTTTCTTTTTGTTTTTTTTTTTTTTTTTTCTTTTGCTCCGCAACGAAACGGAAAAATATCTACACAGAAGTCGCTGATGGCTCTGATGGAGATGCCACCGCTGCTGCTGCTGCTGCTGCTGGTGGCAGCTGCGCGAACCGAGAGGCGGGAAGCAGAGGCAGAGGCTGTGGCTGTGGCTGAGGCTATGGCAGGAGCGGCGGGGGTACGGAAAAGCAGGGATCTGCGGATGTGCTTTGGGGAGTGTGCGTTTGTTGCAATAACAGGAACGGAACGGTGTCAACTGAAAATCCCGACTGACATTAACACACTTCCAACCATCCAACCGTCCGATGGAAGCCATGGAACCATCCCCCAAGCAATCATTTCGACCTGCAGCAGCTCTCTCCGAGAGACAGAGAGAGAGATGTGGAGGCAAGGCGCAGGCGCTGTGGCCAGATATGCGGATGAGGAAGCATCAGGATGACACGCGGAGGCTGGCAGGCCACAGATAAAAAGGGTGACAAATCAGTGACTATCCCCCCAAGGGGATACGTGACTCATTTTGGCACCACTGGCGCTATGCGATGCGATGCGATGCGGGCCACTCACCTATGGATCCATTTCCGTTGCTGCGCGGTCTGGGCGGTGGGCGTGGCGGCAGGGGCGGACGATTTTCATCCAGATTCTGGGACTTTCTGCCGCGCGAAGCAGCTCCTCCTAGGGAGGGCACCGAACCTACTGCCCCATCCAGCTCCGTGTCGTGGTAAATGTCGTTGCAACTGTCGCCCGTGGGCTGAGTCTTGGGCGGCAGCTGACCGCCACTGGAGCGGGGTTTCTTCTTCTTGATCATGGTGCTGTTGTTGTCGGATTCGCTGACCGTAATCTCGTCCGCACCGAGCATGGCATCCGCCAGCAGGCTGCGCTTGTGCTGGGCCAGGGAAGAGCCTCCGTTGGCGGCACAGCTGCACTCCAGGTCGCAGTCACAGCTGCCGCCGCCAACCGAAGTGTCCAGCTGCAGATTGAGCCGATCCCTCTGCTGCTGCTCCTCGTGCAGCGCCTGGTAGGAGTGGTTGAGCAGGGACTGGGCCGACTGCGTCTTCAGTGGCGTCGCTTGATCTGCTGCGGCTGGCACAGAGGCCTGTTGATGCACCAGCACCGCCACAGCCATGGAGCCGTTCTGCGATGGATGCTGCTGCTGCTGCGGCGGCGGCGGCGGCGGCAGTTGGGTCATCTGTGGGGCCCGCCCGCAGGAGCAGGGGCATTGGCATTGGCTGGCTGGCTGCTGGATCGGCGGCTGTAGCTGCATCTGCATCTGCGGCTGGTGATAATGCGCCGGATATTGTATGTAATGATAGTGATGGGGCGCCGGTGCAACCACCTGGCTGGGGGACATGGGAGACGCCTGTTCTAGACTCGCTTGCGAGCCGACACGTTGCAAGGATGCTGCTGTTCCTGCTGCTGCTGCTGCAGCAACAGTTGTTGTTGCTGCTGTTGTCGATGATGTTGCCTCCTCCTCCTCCATGACTAAGTGGTGCCCCCAGTGGCGTCTGCGTTGGCTAAACCGGTTTGACCCTTCAGCTTCGAAATGCTTATTTATGTTGCATACCACCACTGGCACGCACACATGCAACCGCCATCCATAATGGGTGTGCGGATCGGGGTCTCACGCTTCCAATTTCAAGCACCGCGAATTGACCAAATTTATTGCTAATTCTGCAATATTTGCAAGCATTTGGAATAAATAAATAATTATCGGCTTCACATTAACATAAACAGGCACACGGAACACGGAACACACAACACCACACACAGGGAGAAGCAAAAACAAGAAAAGACGATCCAAATCCAATCCAATCCAAAACACCATTCAAACAAACCAACAATCCGCGCACGCAACTCGAACACGGCTGACAGAGTCGCGGCTGCGCGACGTTGGACAAAAGAACAAACGATCAGTGTTGCCCAGCCAAAACTCGCCGTCAGATCTAGCTTTTTTTCAAACAAAAAATAGCGTGAAAAATTCCATTAGTCATCCACAAATATATCCACGTAATCTTTGAGTACAGGGTATACAAATGAAAAGTATCATAATATTAATTCGTTCTATTTTTGTTTAAATTTAAGTTACTTTCGTTTATTTTTAGTTAATTTAGCTTTTTTTTATTCAAAAATATTGGCAGCACTAGCACTGAAAGTGATCGAACGAACCTGTTGCGATGGGAATTGTGAATCAAATCGGTTCGAGCTCAGCCAGCACACACCCACACACACCAGCAAGGCACTCCTGTGTCCGTGTGTACATGTGTGCGAGTGATTTTGTTGTTGTGTTGCCTGTTTGAAGACCCAAAAGGTGCGCGCTCGCGCTTCAACATCAAACGGATTCGATTCCGGTTCTGGTGTCTTGGCTGCTGTTGTTGTTGCTGCTGTTGCACTGATTCATTGTTGTGTGTGTGCGTGTGTATGTGAAGACCCGCAGCCCCGAACAGAGAAAATCAATTTCTTTGTATGGTTCTTGTTACCTTCTTTTTTTTTGTATTTTACCTGGCTCTACCTGGATCTGAGAAAGGGTCTGTTATTGTTGTTGTTGTTGGAACTCTCATTCATACAAGTGTGCGTGCGTGTGAGAACCAATTCTGCGTGTGTTTGTGTGTGGGTTTTATGAGATCCAATTTAAATGTGATCCATCTTACAGTCCAAACTGGCTATGGTGGATGGGATATGTAATGTACACACATATGTAGAGCGCCTTAGACAGGTGCAAGACGAAGGATTCCCACTCGAAGCTGGCCTCACATTTGCCAACTCTTCTGGAGCGGTTCGAGGTCATTCTTTCTTAAGATTATCATGGGAATCAGCGCACTGCACTGTCTGAGTCCACGTGCTCCTCGAATTCGGCCATTGATACTCCTGGAAGAGCGTCGTACTACTTACTAAGGCAGCCAGCAAACTTATTTTCGGTGCACTTAAATATTTTCTGAGATTTTCCAAAGATTAACTGTGAACCAACAGCGACGTAGATTATTTGATTCTATTTCTGTAATCCGATATCTACGGGGACTAGCTCTAGTCGGTATTCTGACACACCTATAAATTGGGCAATAATTCGTGCCATTAAGTTCAAAGCACACACACACACACACCCACAACCCCCATCTATTAATCAATCGATTACTTGAGTCATAAATATTTTCCTGTTGTTGTTGACATTTCCGTTTGCTAATAGCACGCGCGATGCTCCCACCTGAAGGGAGTTTGCAATATTGCAAATGGGAAAACAAGTGATGCAACAAGAGATGCGATTCGTAATATTACTATCTATTATTATTATAAGAAAGCAAATAGAGGAGAGTATATGTACATATTTACCAACCCCAATATGTACTTTTATCAGAGATAATCTTATCCATTTCACAAGTTCGAAGAGTTATTGGACTTAAGCCTTCTTTTCCAGCGTTGTGTTCCATTTGAAGTATATTATCGCAGTAAACGGAAACAGCCTAATCAGAGAATTCTTGGTAAATCGCCAATGAAGAGCAATGTTTATTAGTTAGGGGACGTAATCACTATACAGACATACATACATACATATAAACGTACACGTACAATTATGGTGGTGAGGTGGGGGTGGGGGTGTTGGGGTACCTAATTATTTTAAGAGTCGTCGCTTGTGCCCTTTGGCTATATACAATTTCGTTGTTAAAGAGGGGAGGGGGTACGATAAAATATAGACATGGTAAACCGTATTACAGTATACTTAAAATAGGTTAAAGCAAATGACTTTCTGCCTAAGATTATGGTCCGTAGGCTATCGTAACTATTTACAGAGTTTAAAGCACGTTTAACCATCTTTCTCTTTAGACTCTCCAGAGGTGGGATGCCCCGAAGAGAGCTCTATCTATGTACATACATTGCAGTGCAGCAGTGCGTAAAAGGAAAAATAATAATTATTATCACAACCGAGAACCGATCGAAATGTCATGGAGTGGAGTGGAGTGAAGTGGCGTGGGGATTGGCAGCACACACACACAAGTCCGTGTAAATGGACCCACTGGCAGTACTACTGTGCAGTCGCTGCAAACGAGTGCACCAGCATCGCAAAGCTACTGATGAGGAATATACTGGCGGGCAGCGACGACAACATGCGATAGTTCTCCTCGGTATGCTCGCGCGTCTTCTTCTGCTTGATGACCCAGCCGAGGCTGCGTTCGACGGCCCGCTTCCACTTGCCGTAGCGCTCCTTGCGCTCCACATCCGTGGTGGTGGCCAGGAACGTGTCGTAGTGCACGTTCTCGTAGTAGCGCTTCTCCGGCTCAAACTTGCACAGATCGATGCCCTCCGCCTGGGCGGCGCACATGGCCGCCCCGAAGGCCGTCGAGTCCATCAGCTGCGACCGGAACACCGGCATGCCGATGGTGTCTGCCTGCAGCTGCATCAGCAGGTTGTTTGTCGTGAGCTTGCCATCGGCATGCAGCTTGTTGATCTCGTAGCCGCACTCCTGATGCATGCACTCGAGGATGTCGCGTGTCTGGAAGCAGATGCTCTCCAGTGCCGCCCTCACAATGTGATTCTTGCGCGTGAATTGCGTCAGGCCGATGATGATGCCACGCGCATTCTGGCGCCAGTACGGAGCGTACAGTCCGGTGAAGGCGGGCACAAAGTAGACATCCCCCGACGTGGGCACCATCTCGGCGTACTTCTCGGCATCCCGTGAATCGGGCAGAATGCGCATTTTGTTCTGCAACCAGGACAGGGCATGTCCCGCCACCGATACGGCTCCTTCGATGGCGTAGATAGTGGGCGCCTGCGGGCCCAGCTTGTAGGCGACAGTCGTCAGCAGTCCGTGGCGCGAGAAGACGGGCTTGTCGCCAGTGTTGCACAGCAGGAAGCAGCCGGAGCGATAGGTGTTCTTGGTCTGGCCCGGCTTGACGCACATCTGGCCCAGCAGCGCGGCCTGCTGGTTACCCATGATCCCGCTGAGCGTAATGCCGCGCAGTGCACTCCGCTCCGAGGTGATCTTGCCAAAGATCTCAGAGCAGCTGCGAATGGTGGGCAGCATCTCCTCCTTGATGGCGAATGTCTTCAGTAGCACGGGGTCCCAGTTCTGTGTTTCGAGGTTCATGAGCAGCGTGCGCGAGGCATTCGTTACGTCCGTGATGTGGAGGGCACCTGCAATGCAAAATAGCAAAAGGAGTCACACACTTTGAGTTGCATTCAAGTTCTGAAGATCTCTTACCGTTGGTCAGATTCCACACAATCCAACTGTCGACGGTGCCCGCCTTGCAGCGCTTCTCGCGAATGGCCTGCCGCACCTCGGGCACGTTGTCCTTCAGCCAGCGGATCTTCAGGGCCGAGAAGTACGTGGAGATCGGCAGGCCAGTGATGCTGCGGAAGTGATTCGGATCCTGCACCTTGGCCACTATCTTATCCACGGTGCTGCTGGTGCGTATGTCCTTCCACACGAGCGCATTGTACAGCGGCTTGCCGGTGACAGCGTCCCAGACGATGGTCGTCTCGCGCTGGTTCGTTATGCCCACGGAGACAATGTCGCTGGCGGTGAAGCCCTGCTCGGGCAGCTGCTTGATGGCCTCCTCGGCACACTTGTTGATCGAGGCCATGATCTCCAGCGGATCCTGCTCGTACCAGCCATCCTGCGGCGTTATCACGCTCAGCTCCACACGATGGGCGGCGATCTCCGTGAATTCGGGCGTCGTGTAAATGGAGAAGCCGATGGTCTTGGTGCCCTCATCTATGACGCCCACCAGGCCCGTGTGTTGGATCAGCGACTGCTTGCGCAGCTCCTTGCTGCGGAACGGCACATCCGCACTGGAATTGGGTATGTTCTTGCCCTCCGTCATGCTGCTGGCTGCAAGATAAGAGTCGCCGACGGCCGATTAGATAGGCATTCAATCAGTTGGGGCAGTCGGCGCAGTCTGCGCAGGCCACACCCCATTATTGCATAATTTGCTTCGTTTATGGAGTTCATTGTACATGTAATTTATGGGATGAAACATAAATGAATATTGGCGGGAATGGAGTGATTTAGGGCACAATTCGATAGATAAAGATCGCCCCGTTGTGTACACAAGATCCATCAGTGAGGGAACAGTCTTCCAGTTGGAGCAGAGGTAGAGGTGTAAAAAAACCCATGTTTCACACCCAAGATATAGATCTCTGTTTGTGGTTCGCACTCGCACCCAAATCCAATTCCAATTCCATTCGAGTGGAGGACGGACCTGTGTCGCTGTTGTTTGACTTTGTACCCGACTGTGGCGTCTGTGTGCGGTTGTTGTCTGGTTGGTGGGGGGGCTTGATTTCGTTGCCGGTCTAACGGTCGAGCCCTCTTTCGACTCACACACAGCCACACAATGCCACCCAAAAAGACTTATCATCGCCTGGGTTCTGTTCACTCTCGCTGTATGGATTGCCATTTGCGGTGCAAAGCGAATTCCAGCACATAAATTATTGTCAACTGTTTGGTATTTTGTGATCGCAGGTCTCGGCGACAAGGTCAAGTACTTAGCAGATAACAGACTGATGATTGAGTGCACTGAATGATTAGCTCTGAATACAGAAATATATGTTCTACAGACAGAGAGCCCATGTAGGGCTGTGTCGCCATTAAATTTGATTATTTTCCCCAGACTTTATAGCTGAAACTTTTCCACTATTTCCAATAGTTTCCGGATGGAACAGGGTTTACATCCCGAGATAAGAGAGACTTTAAACAACGTCCTCTATTTGTGTGTGGGTTTTTTGTTTTATTGCTATGTGGGTAGTACATATAAGGAACCATCGACAATCGCTGGGTGTCCAGTCCATGATTAGATATGGGAGAACACACAAACCCTTGATGACCGGCGTGGGTTAGACCCTAACCGACATATCAAACCACCGAAAACGGAGGCAAAACCAAGCAATTATGGGAGGATAACATAAGAGCGATAAAAAACATTCGATTCGATGATGTTTATGGAGTGCTTGCTTGATGAATTGATAGACTTTGGATGGTCGTTAGCTTCGCTTCGCTGCGAATTTTACGCACATTTGATATTCGATTGGTTTGGCGGCACTTCCTATTGATAACACCGTTGCGGAGAGAGCGTTCAACACTTGTTCAAATACTATATATTTTAAGGTGTAAGAGAGCGAAAGAAAGAGAGCAGCGGAAGAAAGCGAGCGAGCGAGAGTGGTTGCCGCTTTCTGTGTGGTGTGGTGTAAGAGTAAATTACGCGAGCGCGACAAAATGGAAACACAACCGAACCGTTCGTAGCCAGCGCCAAATTGTATCTGAAAGTCAAAAATCCATCGTCGCTATCAAGGCGAAGGCGCGGCAGCGCACTGAAAATACACCGAAAGAGCTTTCAATATGCGGGCTATACTACTCAATACTATTCGCAAGTGTGTATTGAAAACAAACTAACAAATACACACACAGCCCCAGGTCTCCACACGAGCGACTGTGTGCGTCCTCCCGTATATGTGCATTGTGTATTGGAAACGACGCGAATGCCGACGAATTTAGTACTAGCCATCGGAGCAGGCCAAATCAAATAAAACTGGTGGCAGGCAGCAACAGCTGATAAGACAGGCCCACAGCCGCTAGTGGAGAGAGAGAGTGGAGCATAGCGGGGTCGGTCTCCTCCTCTTGGGTGGGTGGCAGCGGTAGAAGAGCCCCAGCTCGGTGCAATAAACTGCCAACTGGTTGAGACAGACGTCAGTCGACAGACAGACGATGGCGACAGCAGCCTTGGCATTTAAAAACCCGCCACAACATTTGCATCTTGCCCGACGGATCTACCGTGAGACTGTGGTCGAATGTGATTTGTTTTGGCAATCGTAGTGCGGTACGCAAAGTACCTTTACCATTATCCTGCTGCATAAATTTACATGCATACACTGTATTATTTCCCACTGTGCCCAACTGCACTTCCAATGAAATTGTTAGCCCTGTTTACGATGCAATTAGGGCTTGTTTCAGGCATTCGATTTGCATATTCATGAGCACAGGGAATTATCCCATCCTATACCCCTTTGTTCGCACAATTATGAACTGTACCTACTACAATAATAATTATTCTTTAGTGAGCAAATTATTCCACTGAATATACTCCTATTCTTTCGAAAAACCATCTATACATATTTGTGTGTGTGTAAGCTCACGTGTGGGCGTCTGTTCATTCAGTTGAAGAGCTTCTGGCCAATGTTCTTCTATTAATAGATGGACCATTATTAAAAATATTCCATTGACGGGCCGGGACAGAAGAATGTGCGTTATTCGGTTGACAAATTCCAATTCAAAAGCAAAGCAAAGCGAAGCGAAAATAAAAGAAAAAGTAAAATGCAAATTATGGCATTTGAATATTTGTGAATGCATTTAAATTTTGTTTACAAAAATGAAACGGGGGAGTGCGCTGTCTTATATATACGGAGACATAAAGACGGCGACCGAAGCGAGCTTAATATAATCATTGTGTGATCGGAGCGAAGCGACTTCATTAAACTGAATGTCTATAATCTGGAAATGTCAGCGTGAATAACTCATTAATAAATACATATGTATGGTATGTACACATGTACGTAGAGTATGCGTGTGTGTTGGCCCACAAACGAAGGCAATTTGGGTTGAAGGCTTAATGGCCTGAACTGTTGCCCCAATGCAGTGGAGCAGTCTGGGGTCCCATATGCTGATACTGAAGTCTTATCTGTCAGCTGTCAGCTCTTTTGTGCAGGGTATAGGACGAGTCGTTTTTGCCTGATTCGGCCAGCAATAAGTACATACATATGTACATATAATAAATTGTATGTTCCTTGATGTGTCATTTGGGTCTACAAAATAAGTATAGTGAATGCTCGCTTGCGTAGCCTGTGAATATAACTGTATGCCGAGCAGAGTATTCACTGTACAGAACATCGTAATGCGAGTGATTACGATATCTGAAACTCATTTGCATGCCCCCCCTCCTTTATGTACTGGAACTCTACATAAAGGTTTCCTGCTCTATAATTCGATGCACAGAAAAGTCGAACATGAGTGCAGGTGCATATGTTGGCGATAAATCATTGCCTGGGGGGGATCAAAGGTTCAGTCAACTGTTTGCAATCCACAATTCACATGAATAAATACACATTTATATGACCCATGGGGCTATACTTAGCTGGAACCTTATCATATGTCACCATATCGCATATCGTATGAAAAATAACTTGCCACATATTTCGATGTGATTGCAAAAAAAAAAAAACATTTGCTGGTCATTGATAAAATTGACTCCCATCACTCTTGACTCTGTTGTTGAGTAATTTCACTAGCTTTTGCTGACATATGTAAATATGTATGTATGGTAACTGATAGCTAAATTTTCAACAAGTAATATTCCGTTACGCCAGGTCAAAGGTCACGCCCGTTGAATTACAATTGGTGGCGCCGACGACTTCTAATCGGACAGAAGCATCTTTAATTATAGGCACACGTGTCATGGTTTAACAGATAGGGAGAGCATACACAGCCCCACACACACACTCTGACATTAAAGGTGCAGCGCCCCGTTGTTGATAGTTCGAACTGTATTTACACTTGTTGGGCAATTAGTTACGTAAATTTTACATATTATAATTTAGAATTACAAAATGCAAATGCATTGCTTCCGCATTGCGTTCTTACCGCTTTTATAGTTGGCGACACAGTGATGTGCTGGGGGCAAACAACAATTGCCGCCGCCGGCCATCAACGATGATCGCAGTATGGGGGCGGGACAGAGAGCCAACTCACGTGATTCCCTTACGCCCCACTGAGAGCCTAAATCAATACACAGAAACCGCGTGGCATTGCGCTGCATACGACGTCATACATACTCGTAGTATGTGGAAAGGACAGGCCCCTCTGTATGACGTCACATCACTTTAGGCAAGAGCAATTGCAAACATCGCACAACAACAATACGCAATTAAACTTTATGTAGGGAATTCCCTGCGCACCATGATACACAGATATTCTCTAATGAGTAACCATGACATAACTTATTAGCAGCCCATTAAGCGTTGATTAATTATTTATTTATTACTGAAGTCTGCGTATAGTGTTTGTATTTTCGGCCTGAAGCTGCACGGCCACGCTGCGGTCTGCGTTCAGTGCTAGTATTTTCGGCCTGAAGCCTGCACGGTCACACTGCGGGAAGCATCATGTAATTATCGATGTAATATCGACCTATCGCCGCTAAACAGCATTTCAAAAATGAATTCCTTATCTTAGCTATAGTACATGTTGCGCTTTATTCGCTTCAATTGAAATGGTTCTGCTATGTCTTGTATTTTGCATGGTAATTTGTCACAATTAAAGCAGTAGCACCTGTACTGTATACCTGTTTTATCGCTTAATAAAAGGCGTGAAATGCATAAAGCTTTTTATGCCCAGCATAGATAAGAATTGGGTACACTGTGGGATTCACCTGATGATAACGTAAAAACATGCGACAAACTTCATTTTATTATTAAACATGAACGAAATAATATTTCGTGTGTTTGTTGCTGTATTTCGGCTTTAACCTGTGGCTGTGGCTATGCTATCTTTCGGTTTTCCGATAAGTTGTGGACGGACTATACTATCAGCGAGCAGATTAAGTGTTAGTTTTATCAGCATATTGATAGTCGCATAGCCGCTGGCCTGCCGCTGCCTCAGAAGTCCGCGAGTCGTCATGGGCAGTCAAGCGATTGCGGTTCCTGGAGCGGGAGCGGGAGCTTCGATCCCAGCACCGATGGACAACAGCAGTGCGTACGGCGGAGGAGAAGACAAAAGCGTAGACGTGGGCGATCCTTGGCTGCAGCAGGTCGTCGTCTTTGACTGGCAGCCCGCGGAGATTCTCGCCCAGAATGCCGAGTCCATGCAGCTCATTGTGGCCACATTTTGGTGTGTGCTTCTGGCCCGTGTTGCCGCCCAGCAGCTCTGCCCCCGCTCCAGCCCCACCTTGTGCTACGCCGTGGAGTTTCTGCTCATCGTGCCGCCCGTAGTTCTGCTCGTTACGGTGGCCAGCGACTACTGCACCCACATTCTGCTGCTGATGCTCGTCTGCTCGCTGTGGTTCCTGTTCCGCAGCCAGGCCCTGCAGCGGGCCCGCGCCCGCAGTCAGTTCGATCTGGGCGGCACCCGTCCCACGGTGCTCACGCTGGTGCGTGCCCTGACCCACCTGATCACGGCCGTTTGCATACTGGCCATCGACTTTGGCAGCTTCCACCGGCCCTACCGCAAGAGCCGGACGTTCGGGGCCAAGCTGATGGACACGGGCATCGGACTGTTCGTGGTCACCATGGGCCTGGTGTCGCATCGGACGCGGCACACCAAAGATCTTCGCCGGAGTACGGTGTATGCGGCGCTGCCGCTGCTGCTGCTGGGACTGGCGCGGACCGTGGCCCTGCTAATCGTTGGCTACGGCCAGGATGAGCACGAGTACGGCCGCGACCTGAACGCCTTCTTTACGCTGGGGCTGACGAAGCTGTTCGGATCGCTGGCCAGCCTAGTGGCTCGCCGGGATGTGCACCTCCTGCCACTGGGCGTGGGTAAGTTCGTGTCCCACCCAAACGCCGGAAAATGATCGCAATTGTAGTCCTCCTGGCTTAGGTCTCCTGGCAGCCCACCAGATGTCCCTCAGCGTTTTCGGTCTCTCCGACTACGTGATGGACGAGGATGTGCCGCGTGCGACGCTGTTCAGCGCCAACCGGGAGGGTCTGGTCTCGCTGCCCGGCTTCGTGGCCATGTACCTGCTCTCCATATACCTCAGGCGCTGGCTCATGGCTGCCACGCTGCTCAGCTACTCGGACATGGTCCGGAAGCTGCGGCGACTGCTCCTCCTGGTGCTGATCCTGTGGTGCCTGTTCGGGGCGAGTGCCTTCGCCGTTGGCATCTCCCGGGTGACGTGCAACTTTGGCTACGTCGTCTGGACGCTCTCCATCATATGCACCATTATGTGGATGGCCCTGTTTGGCGTGGACTTTGTCATAGACAGTGTCCTGGCCCGGGATCCGCATGCGCTGGCAGTCGATAGCCAGGAAAAGGGTCAGCTGCTGGAGCCGGCAGGGGCGGAGGGAGAGGGCAATGTCTCTAGGAATGGCAATGCCATCGGCAGTTTTGCCATCTGCCAGTCCCTGAACCTGAACGGTCTGACATTCTTTCTGCTGGCCAACCTTTTGACCGGCGGGGTCAACATATTCCTCAAGCCAGAGGATCGCAGCCAAGCCGAATCTGTGCTCATTCTGCTCGTCTACATGTTTCTGGCCACCAAGGCGGTCCACGAGCTGCTCAAGAGAGGTGTCCGCCTGGCCTGAGAATAAGTTTCCTGTGATTATTTCATTGAATTTTACCTTTAACTTTAACTTGAATTTGCCTAAGTTTTTGTATGTTTTATCAGTTAATAGTAAATACCATAATTTTAGTTAATACATAATGATTTATAATTGCATTCCCTTCCATATGTGGGAGCAGCAAAATGACCGACCCGATCGCGAACAAGTACAATTTATTATCTCTAAAAGTCGATAAGAAGTGTTTAGTTTCTTGCGAAGTGCTAAAATTGTAATCTTAACTTTTGTTTAATCGATGGGCTGTCACTTTAGACAGCAATATAAATACTTTATTAGATGTAAGCTATTACCTTGCCTTCCCTTCCAGATAAGCACATAGATAATTTGATATTTCAAATATTCGTCATCGATAGCCATGTTGTAACCGTTTCGATGAATCATTTTAGTGCTGCTAAGTTTTCGATTTTTGTACACTTTACAACACTTTGGCGCCAACATTTTATCAGAATAACGCTGATTGGAACAAATGTGGCTCAAACAACAGGTTTTAGCAACCTTACTTCTGAACGGCAGGGGATGGAACAGGTGCAGCGGGGGAAGCAGCAGTGTAATGGCTCAAACACCACTCTTTTCCGTGTCCATGGCAACGCAACACAATGGGCCAAAGCCAAAGCGAACATAATAAGTGAAAATTTCGACTATTAATGTGCGCAAAATGTTTGTTTACCTGAGTAAAAAGGCAAGTAAACTAGTTTACTCAATAAATGGCAATAAACTAATTCCATTTATCTGCAGATTGCCATTCCCAACAATGTCAAGCTCAATTGCATTGCCTGGAACAAGGAGGAGGGTTACATTGCGGTGGCCGGCTCCGAGGGTTTGCTCAAAGTCTTGAAACTGGATCAAGGTATAGTACTTTATAGAGACGATCAGTCAGATATATGGCTAAGATAAAAATCTTCCCCTAAAGGGGCAAATGGCCAAAACAAAGGTGGACTGGCGGCCGTCTCCAATTTGTCGATGAATCAGACTTTGGATGGCCACAAGGAGTCGGTTCGGGTCGTCACCTGGAACGATGCACAGCAGAAGCTGACCTCGTCGGACACAGACGGCGTCATAATGGTCTGGATGCTGTACAAGGGCTCCTGGTACGAGGAGATGACCAACGACCGAAAGAAATCCACGGTGGCCAGCATGTGCTGGACCTCTGATGGGGCCAAAATCTGCATTGTGTATGAGGACGGGGCCATTATCGTGGGCTCCGTGGATGGCAATCGCATTTTTGGCAAAGAACTCAAGGGCACCCACCTCACGGGCGTCCAGTGGAGTCCCGATAATCGTCTCATCCTCTTTGCTTTGGCCAGTGGCGAGTGCCATCTGTACGACAATCAGGGAAACTTTGCCGTGAGCATCGCTGTTATTATTATCCCGCAATCCCCTTGCTAATCCTCCATCCTTTGTGTACGCAGATGAAGCTCAACATTCAGTGTGTGCGGCTCAATGGATCTTCGTCGGCTCGGGGTCAGCGCATAGCCAGCATCTGTTGGTTCAGCGGTCGCTCGCCTAACCGCCGCAATCGTCCCGTTCTGGCCATTTGCTACGAGTGCGGCAAGGTGCAGATAATGCGCAACGAAAACGACGATGGTAAGTGGTCAGAGAATGTAGCCTGAAGTCCAGCCTAGACCTTGATTTGGGTCTCTTCTCTCGCTCAGGGCCCGCCATCTTTGACACTAAAATGCGAAACGTGGATGCAAAGTGGAACCACGACGGCAGCGTGCTGGCCATCTGTGGCACCTCACTGGAGGCGACAGTAGCGCCAGCGCAGCGGGACAACAACCAGGTGTGCTTCTACTCGCCGCTGGGCCGGATCTATCGCACCTTGAAGGTACCAGGCAGTGACATCACCTCCCTCAGCTGGGAGGGCAAATCGCTGCGCATCGCCATGGCCGTGGACTCGTTCATCTACTTTGCCAACATCCGGCCCGACTACATCTGGTGCTACTTCGAGAAGACGGTCGTCTTTCTCAACAGCCACAGCAGCAGCGGCAATGGCGTCAGGGAGACGCCCATGAGCGTGATAACCTTCTGGAACACGGTATCCAACCAGAGCTTCCTGAAGGAGGTGGAGCCAACGCTGTGCCTGGCGGCCAGCAGCGAGCACTGCGTCCTGGGCGTGGAGTGTGTCAGCAGCAACATCAAGGAGATTGCCCTCAGCACGCTGGAGAATCGCAGCAATGCAGCCGACGACAGGGTCTACCAGCTGCTGCTCTGCAACTCCATTGGCACCACTGTGGACTGTGAGTTTCCCGCATCCCCGAGGGGGGGTTTCCTCATGTCTCTATGTAATCTTCTGCTCTCTAACGACAGCCAAGTACACGGACATCCGACCCTGTTTTGTGGGCATCAATTCGAGCTATGTGGCGATTGCCTCGCAGGAGGAGATCCTCATCTGGCACTATCACACGCCCAAGAGCGCGTCCAACTTGCAGAGCGTGAAAGCGCGCAAAGAGAAGCGCTTTCACATTGACGACACCCCGACGGGCGTGGAGATGGCCAAGGATCTGATGCTGGGCAGCGGAGAGGCCCAATCGCATCGTCGCATCAGCGATCCCATCTGTGCGCTGGCTCTGTCCGAGAAGCTGCTGCTGGTGGCCCGCGAATCGGGAGCCATCAACGAGTACAGCATTGCCAATGTGGCGCTGCGGAATCGCCACATGATGAGCTCCAAGGTCTACAAGATGGCCATCAACTGCAATTCGACGTGAGTGTGTGCATGAGTGTGTGCTTCCCCCACCACTTTCAACGATTCCCTTTTCAGTCGAGCGGCCATTATAGACCACATGGGTGTGATGACGTTGCTGGACTTGGACGACAATCGGGAGACGCAGCTGAACTTCAGTCGGGTGGAGCGCAAGGATGTGTGGGCCGTCAGCTGGGCCAAGGACAATCCGCTGCTGCTGGCGCTGATGGAGAAGACGCGCATGTACATCTTTCGGGGCAACGATCCGGAGGAGCCCATCTCCTGCTCCGGCTACATTTGCACCTTTGAGGACCTGGAGATCACCAGCGTCCTGCTGGACGACATCATAAGCATTGGCGAGCTGCAAAACTCCTCGCACATCATTCAGCTGCGCGTCAAGTCGCTGCGCGACACCGATGACCTACTGGAGCATGTTGGACTCGAGGATGCGAAACAGTTCATCGAGGACAATCCCCATCCGCGCCTGTGGCGACTGCTGGCCGAGTCGGCGCTGAAGAAACTGGAGCTGGACACGGCCGAGAATGCGTTTGTGCGTTGCGCCAACTATCCGGGCATCAAGCTGATCAAGCGGCTGCGCACCATCAACACCCAGGAGCTGCAGCGGGCCGAGGTTGCCGCCTTCTATGGGGAGTACGAGGAGGCCGAGAAGCTGTACTTGGATGCAGATCGCAGGGATCTGGCTATCGAGCTGCGCATGACGCTCTGCGATTGGTTCCGCGTGGTGCAGCTCTACCGCATGGGCGGCTCGGGGGTGTCTGACCAGCAGATGGAGACGGCCTGGCGGGAGATCGGGCATCACTTTGCGAATCTCCGATCGTGGGAGAGCGCCAAGGAGTACTACGACAAGTCGCACTACATCGAGGGCTTCATGGACGCCCTGTACCATCTGGAGCAGTTCGATGAGCTGGAGGAGTGCGTGGAGAAGCTGCCGGAGAAGAGTCCGCTGCTGCCCAAGCTGGCGGAGATGCTGGCCTCCGTGGGCATGTGCGCGGAGGCGGTGCAGGCGCACCTGAGGTTCGGCGACCAGAAGGCAGCCGTCAACACGTGCGTGAATCTGCGGCAGTGGGGCGAGGCCGTGGCGCTGGCCCAGAAGTATCAGATGCCGCAGGTGAGCACACTGATTGCCAAGCACGCGGCACAGCTGCTCAACGAGGGCCGCCTCACGGAGGCGATTGAGATGCAGCGCAATGCCGGACGCTACCTGGATGCGGCCCGGCTCCTGGCCCAGCTGGCGGAGCGGGAGCTGGAGAAGCGTGCCCCGATGCTGCGCATCAAGAAGATCTACATTCTGGCCGCCCTGCTCGCTGAGCAGTACCTCAAGGCGGTGGCCACGCCCGAAATCGACTATGCCAGTGGCCGGAACACGCTCTTGGACTCCATCAGCCTGGAGGATGCCGCCTGCATTGAGCGCATGTGGCACTGTGCCGAGGCCTATCACTTCATGCTGCTGGCCCAGCGACAGCTGCGCTTCGGCATCATCCACAGTGCCCTCACCACGGCCATCCGCCTGCGGGAATACGAGGATGTGCTGCCCCTGGAGGACATCTACTGCCTGGTGGCTCTCGCCAGCTGTGCTGACAGGGCGTTTGGCACCTGCTCCAAGGCATTCGTGAAGCTGGAGACGCTCAGCCATCTGCCCGAGAAGACGCTGCACGAGTACGAGCAGCTGGCGCGGAGCATCTTCTCCAAGTACGAGCCAGAGGACGCAGACTTGGACATGGTTGCCTGCTATTCCTGCGGCGTGCCCGTGCCCGACAGCTCGCCCGCCTGCATGGAGTGCGGTGCCCGTTTTCCGGCCTGCATCTCGTCGGGGAAGCCCATTCTACAGCCGACAAACAACATTTGGATATGCACCACTTGCCACCATTGTGCCTCGCCCCTGGAGATCTCGCGACATCGGTCCTGCCCCTTGTGCCACAGTTTGATTGCCTCCGTGACCGAAGAAATGTAACTCGCAGCGGGAATGGAAACCTGCAATAATAAAATACACAATAGATAATAATTTGAAAGTGCGCCAATAAATATGTAAGCAACTTTGCCTTTCTGCACGATTTTATGCCTATCGACAGAACTATCGCATGTAATTGAGTGAAAATACTCGATATCGTATTGCATTTAGGAGCAGGCAACAATGACGTCACATTTCGTACACTCTTACGTTTTATGCTTTGACCGTTTTTTTTTTAACCTTAATATGTAAACAATCCAATGAAAAAGAGTTCTAAAAACTAACCAATCCTGAACAAAATTTATGTATCTATCGGATAAAATTATTTGTTTAGGGCTGAAAGGGCCAACTAGCTAGTAATATTAAACTGAATATCAAAATTGACGAATTTCATATCACAAAATATCATGGTATGGCAGCCCGCAGCAACTACGAATTGCACGAGTCTGGCAGCGCCACAAAACGACGACAAATTCGTTTTATGCTGTTTTTGTTTGAACCTTAATATGTAAATAATCCAATAAAAAGGACTTCTGAAAACTTGCCAATCTTGTAGGAAATATATGTATCTATCGGATAAAATTATTTGTTTAGTTCTGAGTGTCCCAGCTAGCTATTAATATTAAACGGAATATCAAAATCAAAAAAATACCAATCCAAACATATCAAAAGCGAAACGACTGTAGCTCGATACTATCATGATAGTCTCAAAACCATCGATAGTAGAGGCTAGTAGCAAAATATCGATACTATCGATAGTGACCTCTAAATTTTTCAACGAGCGGTTGCTGCGCGCATCGCGTCGCGAATTACTTTTTAATAAATTAATGCAAATCGCTGTGCTGATGTACAATTGTATGCGTACATAAATAAAATAAATAAAAGTTTCCGCTGGGCTGTGAATAAGCTTGATTTAAGCGACTAAATTGATGTGCATTGACGCGAGAACTGCGTCGCGCTGCGTCGTGTCGTGCGTGTTGTTGTTGTTATTCTTTGGGTTGGGTTTATAAGTAGAAATACTTATTTTTAAACAAAATCGTCAGGGGTACTCGAGCGGCGATCACATGAACATAGCAAGTACATAATATGTACATGTACATAATTGCAGCATTCAGCAGTGGTGTAGCGGAAAGTTTCGTGCCAAAATAAATGATCCAAACGAGTTTCAGTTTGAGTGCAAATCTGTGTTAGTAGTGGATAAAAGAAAACAAAACAAAACAATTCGCACAGATTGAAGAGATGTTGTAAGCAATTTAACATATATTCACTTGGCGAAGGAAAGGTGCCAGTGCCAGGCCGCTGGAAACTACGAAAGCAAAACGTGTAAACTAATTGAGTGTAAATTGAGTGCATTCCTTTCCTGAACTGCAGTTGTTTTGAGTGGAGGAACAAAGGCACGCCAGGCCCCGGCCACTTAATTGCGGTTGAGGAATAACGTAAGTAAAAGCAGTTAATTTTAGTGCCTTTTGGTTAAACAAATAAATGGAGCTCTTGAAATGTGACACATTATTCGCCATTTATAGGGTTTACGAAAGTTCCACACTTGCCTTTTGAGTTTGAGTGTGTTTAAGGCCCTTTTGATTGTGTGCGTGTGTGTCAATTAGCGCTTTTGAGCACTCCAAGAACAGTTAAACCTGTTCTGGTTTCTCTTTCTTCTGCGCCTTCTTCTTGTTGTTTTCGGCCTTTCTTTCTTCTGCTTTTGGTTTCGCCCACTCCACTCTCTTTCTTTTTCTTGCATTAAATTGGCAATAATATGAATACCGCCATCTCTTTCTAACCAGTACAGTAGTAAATCCCCCGACGCTGATAGCATAGCCCGCATCCTCTGCGTTTCAGAATCTGCGGAAGCTTCCAGCGGGGCTGCATCTGCCGTCGAGTAGATTGAATGGGATCGCTGCCAGCATATATGTATGTATGTGCATATGTACTTTTTGTGTGGTTGTGTACTGCAGGCCAACTAACGCACACTTCTGCGGTCTAGAATGAAATATTAATTCATTGGATTGAATACGCACACACAGATCCCTCTTCATCCATCTCAATGGGGGGTGGCAGGGTACTTACTGGGTGTCTACGGTATCCGCTGGCCGGTATCTAATCGCGTCTGGCTTGCTGTTAAATATATAAACATACAGAGCGAATACATATGTATGTACATAAATATAAGCTTGTGTATATAGTCTACACATGTAGATGAATGAGTGCTGATTGTCGTATCGTTCCTTGGCTCTTGGCTTTGTTTCGACACAGGGGAATCCCCCTTTAAACTTAGGGATCCTATGCCTGAACGCAATACTTTTTTTTAATTTCCCACCCCACCAATCCTTAACCAATCCTCATAACTTTCGACATTGACAATGAGGCTTCATCAGCATTCATTCGTTCATTATCATTATCATTATGATAATGATCTCATGTGCATGTGCATGTGTGAATGACGCCCGTTTAGGACTTGAGCTTAAAAGTGCAATGCACGGCAGAAAAATCAGCACAAGCAGATTCAAAGGTATGAAATATATCTTTAGCACACCAAAGTGCAGATACTCTTTTAATCCCAAACCCAGTAATCTTTTAAGAGGCGTAAAATCTGTGGAAGATAGGAACATTTTTCAGGAGTACAAGGAAAAAAATTGAAGTGGATAAATTATGCTTCCTCTTCTGTATGACAAACATCTGTGCAAAACTCAAATACCCTCTGGTCGGGCATAAAAGTAAGAAATGTGCTGAAACGACACTAAACAGAGCACTCCCCATGCTCGTGTGTGTCGTCTGTCTGATATCCACCGGAGCAAACCTTCATGCAGAGTGGGTGCAGGGGCACACAACGTACTTCGCCAGTACATTGTTGTCATCATAATTACTCAGCTTTATTCGATAATGCTCTGGAGGTCTGATGACTGCGGAGGGTGCGGCACTAGTGTTGCAAGATGAGACAGGAGTGCGGAGTCGGCTCCCTTATACATAGCGTGACGCTCTAAAAGTTACCGAAGGACCCACAGGATGGAGCCTCTATTGTCAGTTTGCTTTATCCTGATGGATTATCCAACATGGCTGTACGTTCGCCGCATTGTTGCAGGTTGCAGTTGCCGCGTTGCACCGTTGCAGTGCACTGATTATGCAAAATGCCATTCTTGATGGCTGTCTGGTGGTGGCGGTGTCTCTTCTGTCACGGCGTGGCGTGGGTTCCACCTAGTTCTAGTGTGTGTCTCTGTGGGGTGTTCGTTCTGCTGAACAGCGGTTGCAAATAAATCTAGGAAACTTTGGGGCTTGAAATGTGAGAACCCCATGCTAATTGGCCAATACTACGGGGCTACATTTATGGGTAAAGAGAAGAGGTGTTGTCTGTATGCGAAATGAATTTGGAAAGCTGGCAAAAAGCAGCTAGAAATTATTGTTGGCTGTCACTGTCGCTGCCGCTGCCGCTGACGTGGCTGTCTGTACATCTGTTTCCAAATTGTACTTTGGATCTATAAGGGAAGTTTTGATGTCATCGCTACACAAAACTTTGAATAGTTGTCAAGTTCGCATGGCTCTCAAAATGCTTCCATTAAGCGGGACTTATTTATAATTTAAGTTCGGAATAATATTCTGTAAGCAAAGTCCATATTATGGAACCCTCTGAAATGAAATTCCTTCGGTTTTATAGCAGCCTTTGGCTCACGTTCTGCGGCCAAAACATTTGTTGTTTATTATTATTATTTATTTGCATTTGTTTGTGTTTGTTGTGTATGTGTGGGTTTTCCAAATGTGTTTTATCAGCGTCTTGGCTTGGCGTTAAATTTCCAACAAGTGTGGATATGAAACATTTGTGCTGCCTGTGCGGATTTACACATTGAGATTGGGATTGAGCTGTGTTTTCCTAAGACTTTGATTGCCCCATCCAAAGTACAGCTTGAAGCTGGAATAATAAATGTATCCTATGTGCAGAATACATATGTTCATTTGTATGTATTTATATATGTAGAATAAAGTGTAACCTTCTTTGTTTGAGCTTTAATCAACTGCGCAATATTGAGGGAGTGTACAGAGTAGTGTATATACCAGAGTTGGATACCCTGCCATCTCCATCCAGAAAGCAAACCCACACACAACAAGATTGTGAGCACTTACCACGTCTCTGAGATATAAATATATGTATGTATCATATATAACATATTTACTCCTTTAGTTCTTTGTAGGAAATATTTAAGGGAGTAAATGATAATATTTGCCAAAGGTGCTGCCTCCGTTAATCATCATTTAGAATGCAGAAAAAAAAGAAAGAATTATCCCACAGATAGAACACTTTTGATGTTGTCTAAAAATATAACCAATTTAGTGGGTTTTTCCTCTCTCAACTTAACATTTCCTGCTAGCAGCACTCAAGTGCTCCTCCACAGAAAGGGGTTGTGGGGTCCTCCACTTCAAGGGGATTAGTCACATCCATAAGTGTTATAGAAAGTAGGAAAGCTTAGGAACAGACAGAGTGGCAACGTTATTAGATGTTTACCAGCGATTAGATTTTACTGGACATATAAAATAGATGTTTCACTTATCAGTTTTCCATCTATCGGCTATCGGTTATAAGTACCCGATCAGCAATCATTCCCAGTGATTCATTAATTTTTGGAATCGTCTTATCTGTGTTTGTGCAATCGAAAAGAAGGGAAGAGACTGCGGCGAGGGCAAGTCAACAGAGGAGTGAAATGGCAATGCAGGCAACCCAAGAGTCTCACATGCAACAGTTCATATGTAAATACATATACATATGTATGTATTTAGTACCTCCCTCAGTAATCGAACTTTATTCGTAATCAACAATTGGATGACTGAACGAATGAATGAACGAATGTAACGGAGATACTAGTAGGAGTGCGTAATGAATCATGGCAACCAGATGCTGTCCATAATGAATCGATGAATGAATTGAATAGTCAATGTAGCAGATATTAACAAACACGTTTTTCCATTGAAAAATTAAACACACACCTCTCCCTTTCTCTCTCTCTCCCTCTCTCTCTGTACATATGTCTCAGATACAGATACACATAAATACCTACAGATAGTTTTTCTCTAAGCGTCTAGCCGACGAGATTCGCGTGAGTCACTCACGACATTTTCATTTGCCTCACATAATCTCACTGATTGTTCAAACAAATAAATAAAATGGCAAATATAAACTTGTTTTTTTTCCTAATAAAGAATTCTCTCACTTTCATAATATATGCGGAAAACGAATGCATATCGCATTAATGCGAAAAAGTGGAAAGGAAACTGAACAATCTATTGAATCATATTCGAGCTGAAATGTAAAATGATCTTAGGGATTATTTTGCTTATCTTCTAGGAGATAAAAGTATTAATAATCTCGCATCTGTGCACTCGAAAGTGGTGTAGTAGATTATCTATCTACCCTAGCTGATACATCAGTAAACTCTTATGCGAGTATGTCCACCCTCCGTTTGCTGTTCTGTTGAAGCCAATTACAGTACTCGCATTTACCCCGAGAGAAGCTCTATTACTATTATTTTATATATTCTAGTCAACTCTCGAGTCCATGACCGGATTACACATCCTCCCATCTCCTCCCATCCAACAATTTGTCCATTTATTTGTTTCCACTCGCACATGAGGGGCTAAAGTTGAATTAGTCATCAAGAAATGGGAACATTTGTAAATTTACTATAACGATTATGAGTTCTTATCTCCTGCCAGCTATCTTTAGTAGTAAGTAGTCTCTGTTGTAGCTGTGGTCCGGCAGGAAGGAAGAGTCGAATCGCTTGCTGATTATCTCTGACCTGTGGATTTCAAGGGTTTTCAAAAGATTATCTTTATGTACTCAAGGGGATTGTGTACGAGTAATCATTTAATTTATGAACGTATTATGAATTTTTAAACAGAACTTTTTTGCTGCAAAAAACAGTCATAGAGACTTGGGGGGTTTTGTAGTGATTTGAGTAGTTTTTCTTTTGTTATTCTAATTATTAATTATTATTCTAATTCTAATTAGTATAATACAAATTGTGAAATACAAATTAATTTGGGATATATATTATTAATATGGAGCTACAAGTAGGCAGCTATTGTATCCATCAAAATTCCGTTGTTTTTTTGCCATAATTGAATTTTTTATAACATTTTGACCCGTGCTCGTGCTGCCCCACCACAGGTAGTCCCTTTGTTTGTGGCGCCACTTGGCAGTGGCAATAGCACACGCTATTTCTGGGCTAATGACAGCCTTAACAATGAACAAACTGATGCTTGTTGATGTTTCAACTCCACCCAGAGAAAAAAATCACTGAGAATACCATACTTACACTTAAATTTAAAAATGTGTACCAAGAGCAAAAAAAGTGTTTTCACTTACATTTTGCAATGAATATGAAAATATTTGATCTATATACATTAAATATTTAATATTTTATTTAAATTTATTTAATATTTAATATTTAATTTAAATATATTTAATATTTTATACATTTTTAATGTGTTTATTTTATTTTATATTTAAATCAAAGTGAACTCTATTTAATTTCCTATGGGTGTGTTTCTTTTTCTGAGTGTACTAGTTAATGACCAGAATAGTAGAATTGCAGACTGGCGGGAAGTTCCACACATGTGGCTTACTTGGCGATTAAATGAATCAGATTTGCAGTGTATGCCCCTCCTATCCCCTTAGCTGCGGCTCCAGTGACGTCTTTGCCTGCCACAAGCCAATAATTATAATTAAAAACTATATTATAAAATGGAGAAATGGGAGCACAATGGGAGGTAGAGCTCTAAGTGCAGGTATTTTCCACAAATCAACAAATGACATTGTTGGGGCATGCTTCATGTAACAACAGACTGTAATCACGCATGGGAGATTCATAACTGGGCGAAAGGGATGGCTCTCTCTCTCTATATACGAGTATTTCCGGATCGAATCTTATGCAATCTATTCGGTAATTGAATCCCAGGCAGTGGTCCCTTGGCACCCTTTCACACAGGTGTAGACTTGACCCTGTTTACACGTCGGATTGCTCGGGTTGCTCGTGTGCCAAGCCAAGGGATTGAAATCGGAGGCATCCAACAGCCAACGGATTGCCCCTGAACGTGAATACTGCTCTGGATGATGAGGCTTCTGTGTTCTGTGTTGTTTTGTGTCTGTGGATAAGGATGCCACTTGCCAGTGGCCACTTGCTGAATGATCACTGAATCAACATAAACAGAGTGCAAATTTAATGATTCATTGGTTGTTGTTGCTGTTGCTTCTGCAACTTTGGGGGCAACAAAGGCCCCACACCACAGCTGCCACAATCGCTGTTTCAACGGAAATGTTTTTGCTGCTGCTGCTGCTACTGCTGCTGAAAGTTCTCCTCCATTTATCATTGAATAAATTGCAAAATAAATATACAGCAAAATAATAATAATAATAAATGCAATCACAGGCCGCGGGATGAGAAGTCGTCCCGTCGTGGCTGCTAAAGAACCAACCCAAGCCGAATGGATTGCAATAAAACATATATATTATATATACGATATATATCTGATCGATTTGGAATGGAAATCTTGTGTTCCGTCTGTTCGTGTGCCAATGGAGGAGCTGCTCATTCCACTCTCTCTCTCTCTATCTCTCTCTGTTGTGGGAGTAGACTGAGAATTTTGAATATTCCGGCATTTATTCTCGTTGCGGCCAAATAGGGAGAGGAGATGCCATGCGGCGAAATTCGGCAACAACGAAAATAGATGCCCAAATGTTAAAACTGCAAATACCTCAGAGGGGGTGGGGTGTAGAGTGTCGTCGGGTGTGTCTTTGTCTTTATCTGTTTCAGTGTATTGCTCTGCTCCACCTCTAAATTAAAAGTCGCAGACGTATCTGAAATATCAGCTCCTCGACGGTTTTCTTCAGTAGCACCATCATGGACAACGTGAAGCCGAGGAGGCTGAGACAGAACAGCCAGGGCGTGGTCAGGGCCACAGTGAGAAAGACGAGAGTCTCATGGCCCCGGGCATTGGCCATGCGCCACAGCAAATGGCGCTGGGTGTTGCGCAGCTTAAACTTGCTGTTCCCCAGCCGGAGGCGCACCGAGCCGACGACTTCTGTGAGGCCCACGGTCTTCGTGGTCAGCCAGAGCAGCACGTGGCCCAGCAGCTGCAGCACCAGCAGCATGGCCCTGACCACAGCCGTCTCCGTCCAGCGTTTGTACGATGCCACCAAACGCTCACGACGCTCCGGCTTCAATTTGGACAGCAGCAGACCAGTGGCAAGTTCCCCACGGGAGACTGTGTCGGGTCGGCGGCTGCAGAGCTCCTCCGTTTCCGAGTCCGTTTCGTTATGGTCTGCCGAACTGAAGTCCTGCTGGCTCGGCCCCGAACTGGGGCTCTGGCACGAACTGGGGCTCTGGCTCTGACAGGAGCAGGGCTCCTGTTCCATCTCGTTGGGCATCGAGTAGGCCCCCTCGTAGTGCTCCTCGTAGGGCCCCTCGTAGCGACGGTCGTAGTAATTGCTGGCCATGGCTCTGGCTCCTCCTGTCCACTGGGTGCTGCCCATGGGCTGCTGGCTTCCCATCGCCGCAATTTGTGGCACAGCATTGAACCTACAGTGCGGCAGAAGAGTCACTGTTATGTTTGTGTGTGTGTGGTGGGGGGGGAGTACTCTCTTATCTTGCCACTCACCCATCTGAATCGCCCATCGGGGGAAAGACGGTGCGACCCATTGTGCGGGACAGCAGCGGACTGGTGCGGATATTATTTAGGAAGGGCATCGCATTGAGTCCATTCTTGTCGGGGGAACCGGAATCGGAACCGGAATCGCCCTGGTCATTCAAGTTGAAGGATCCCAGGTATCCGAATGTACCCTGTGTACGGGTGAATGGGGAACGTGAATTGCTCATCGATGGCTTCTTCTGTTTCTGTTTCTGCTTTTGGAACCTGTGTGGAAAATTGTCTTTTATAAATGAATTTTCCTACTGCTTTTCCCAAGAAATTTATTTTCGTATTACTTTTTATTCGAGCTGCTTTCAATATCTGAGCTGATATCTCTAGGATTCCAAACGATAAATCAGAGCCTTCTTTGCTAACCCTTTTTCTCGTTTCTCCCCTTTTCACTTGCAGTTGTGCATCAGTAGGCGGCAGAAGAACCCTCCACCATGCAGCGAAGAATCCTCTTTGGATGGCTGTTGACCCAAATGGCACTCCTGGTGCACTCGGAGCTCACAGAATTGGATGGTCCCAATATATGCAAGCGCCGTGAGAGGTGAGTAGTCATCCTAATCCATCCACAGACTTTTAATATCCATTCCCATGCCCAACAGCTATCCCGTTGAAGTGGTCTACACGGAACTGCAGTCGTACCAGGAGCGTGGCTCCAATTGGTGCCTCACCATACCACCACGCTGCTCCACGTATCGCATCAAGGAGCGTGTTGTCAAGAAGACCAAGACCATCATGAAGAATCGCATTGTGCGCGACTGTTGCGGTACTTTCTCTTTGCCTGCCCCACCCCTCCCGAATCTTTGGCTAATTTCCAATATTTTTCAGATGGCTACGTGTCCAGCGGCGGGGAGTGCGTGGCCCACTGCACGGACCACTGCGAGCACGGCAGATGCATTGCCCCGGATAAGTGCAAGTGCGATCATGGCTATGGCGGCCCTGCCTGTGATATAAGTTCGTTGAACCTTTGATTAATCTTTCCCCCCCCCCCACAACTCTCCAACCCAATTAACCTTTTCCTATTTTTGTGTTGCTTTTTTTGTGTGTCGAAATCTGTACAATGAAACGCCTTGGGGGGGATGTCCTTTGCCTAAATGAAAGCCCTTGCAGAGTGCTCTGACAGGAACCGATACAACAGATACAGATACAGATACGGGGCTAGCCATGAGATACATATCATCCGAATACTAACTGTAAATGCCACAACAGGGGGACAAGGAAATATACATAAATAGGAGCATAGAAAAACACCAAGAAAAGGGACAGGGACAAAGATAGGACACGCACACAAAATGAATACACAGGAGGATGAGGATCGGGAGGGCATGCCGCCCATCAGCACCACCACATTCGGCATACCCAACGATCCGGCGCTGCTGGACGAGTATGAGCTGTACCGCCCATCGATGGGCACCCGGCGGCTGGTCAGCGAGCTGCATCGTGAGATCTACCCAGAGGCCTTCATCGAGCACGAACGGCTGGGCACCTTGGCGGATCTGTGTGTGCGGGCGCTGGCCAAGAACCAAGGCACTCTGCACATTGCATTGCCCGTGCAGGAGGATCCGCTGAAGCTGCGCATCCACTACGACTCCATTGACGTGGACCTGCCGCTGCGGGAGTGCTACTTTGTGGAGGATTTGCGGTATTGGCGGCGCGTGGTGCTGGCCAAGAGCTCCGACAAGTCGCTGGCGCTGAAGAAGCTCGCGGAGTACGACTGGCGGGGCAAGGGGATCAGCATCAAGTACGTGGAGATGGTGGAGTCCTGTCCGGCGGCATTCTGGCCGGAGCGCGAGATGGCCGAGCTGGCGGGACTCGTGCGGGAGCATGTCCGCACCATGGACATCCGCCATCTGCAGTCCCGCACGGAGGAGAGCTTCCAGCCTCAGATGCAGAGCAGCGACTCAGAGCCGGACGTCACTTCGGAGGAGTCTGAGGAGCTGATCATTTCCAGCGATGAGCGCAACACCTCATCCGAGTTTCCGGATGAGCAGGAGGAGGAGTGCTCCGAGGAGCAGTCTGCAATGGAGCAGCCCCAGCAGCAGCCACAACTGGAGCAGAAGTCGTCGCACACCAAGCCCAAGCAGGCGAAGATAATTTTCAATGAATTGGAAAGCACCGATCAGGAGCAGTCGGGAGCGGCAGCCGGACAGGCCGACGAAGGGGCGTACCTTGTGGAAGGCATCCAGGAGGATAAACGCGTGGGGCGTGCTGCACGCAACGCCGTGCGCCAGCAGCTGCGTGACATGCAGGCCGCCAAGAGGGAGCAGCACGAGCAGCGGCAGCACCGTCGCACCCTGATGCGTCAGAAACCCGTTGAGGAGCCGCTGAAGAAGAGCCGCAAGAGCCGCAAGACGGTCATGGGCGTCTTCAACATGAAGGTGGAGGCTGAGAAGGAGGACGAAGAGGAGAAGATTGTCGACAATCGCAACAAGCAGAAGCTGCTGGCACGCATCAAGCGCTTCGACTACCCCTCGGAGTACTGCCACCATGTGGACCTGAGTTTTGTGCGCTTCTTCGATAATCTCGTCTCGCTCACCCTCGAGTTCCTGGGGCCGCACATGGGGCGCGAGTTCCACAGGCGGCACCTGCGCTTCTCCCTGGAGGACATGTTGCGGCTGGCCAGGGGTCTCCAGGCACTCGACAAGCTGCAGATCTTCCGCCTGCGCAACAGCCGCATGGACCAGCTCAAGCTGCACGCCCTGTGCGGTGGCCTCAGGGACCTGAAGGCATTGGAAGTGGTTGACTTTGGCTACGACCAGATGTCAGACGACTGTGGCGCCACCTTGGGCTCCCTGCTGAAGCGCGAGACCATGCTGAAGGCCCTGGAGCTGGAGTACAATCAGCTGGACCTGAACGCAGCCTCGGCCATTGGCGCTGCCCTGATGCAGCACCACCAGGATGCGGGGGCGATGCACCTGCAGTACCTGGGCCTGGCCCACAATCGCATGAGTGACAAGGCGCTGTCGACGCTTGTCCACTACATCGTGGGCACCGACCATGTGGAGGAGCTCAACGTTTCGGCCATTACGGCCCGCAAGGAGGTGGTGGCGGATAGTCTGGGCTACTTGCTGCGCAACCATCCGCCACTGCGGCGACTGGATCTGGCGGCCATACCGATGAACAGCACCGTGGGCCGGAGACTTGTCTGCGCCCTGGAGCGCAACCAGAGGGTCACGCACTTTGACTGTCGCGGCTGCGACATGGACAGCGACGAGGAGTTTGAGGCATCCATTATAGTGAGGCGCAACGCCTTCCAGACGGATCACTCGTACATCGGGGACGAGACCAAAACGGAGCAGGACATACAGGAGCACTTCAAGAGCATCAAGCACCCGCTGGTGCAGAAGCTCGAGGGCGAGAGACAACGCCAGGCTGAGTGCCTCAAGGTGCGTCCCCCTCTGGCCAGCACACCCAGCGAGACCAGCATGAGATCCCTGGCGGAGGAAAAGGAGGAGCCAGAGTACGACATTTGGGCCGAGTTGGGCATCAAAACTAAACTCTCAGCCCACCAAGTGCCAGAGCCCTCCGTGTCCAGCCACAGCTCAGTGTCCGATAAGGGTCCCTTTTACTTCGATCCGAACAGCTTCGATCTGGAGCAGTTCCGGGAGCACATCCACCACCAGGGCATTGGCAATCGCTACTACTACTTCAAGAGCCGCAGGGAACAACGCTGATCTGATCTGATCTCATCCACCATCCTAGGGATATGTTATCTAGGGATTTTTTGTTATTTGTTAGTTCGATTTGATCCAAATCTAAAGTCGTTAGGAGGAGATTCACAGAACACCCAAACGTTTAACGTTTGGTATCCATTGTGGGACCATTAAAGCATGTTCAAATTCGGATATGAGATTCGTTAATTTCCCATAAGCGAATGGATACACTCGTTTTGCAATGTGGCAAAGAGAGAGGGAACTGTGGCTGGCATTGACTGTGTTCCAACCTCTGCAAGGGTATGCCTGCATCGGCCTGCCGATGATATGCACCACCGCTGTATAGCCATAGTCCATTTGGTCTTGCCTTACTCTAAGTCCACGTATCTGCTTACGTGTGTAGATATATATTGTGTTGCATGTGCTTTGTAGCTTGTATTGTATGTAGTTTTACTTGGATTTTCTCTTTTTTCGGAGTTGAAATCTTTAGTCTAACCAAGAGCACACACACACAACCCTTTCTCACAAACAACCTACCCCACCCCACACACACACACACGCACGCATGCACGCAGTCTCCCCCGCAGGATCTATTGGATCTAATTCTACTCACACACGACACGCTTCGGGAGGAGTACTCCGGGGCGTGGCGTGGCTTAGTCGCCAGCAAAGCAAAGCAAAGCAAAGATCTAGAGCAATCGAAAGCCGCCACTAACTGTCGAAACACCCCGCCTAACGTGTCCCAAGTCCTGTACAAAAGAGAGAGAGAGAGAGAGTCGCTGCTAATCCAGTTTGTCTATAACCTTTTTGCACGCCAGATTGTCCGCCTGGCTTGTACGGACGGAACTGCTCGATGCAGTGCGACTGCCTGAACAACGCCCTCTGCGAGCCCTTCAGCGGGGAGTGCGAGTGCGCCAAGGGCTATACGGGCGCCAGGTGTGCCGATAAGTGTCCGGAGGGACACTTCGGCGCCGACTGCTTCGAGGTGTGCCGCTGCGAGAACGGTGGCAAGTGCCACCACGTCTCGGGCGAGTGCTCCTGCGCGCCCGGCTTCACGGGTCCCCTGTAAGTGGCCAGAGAAACCAAACCGCGATGAGATCCACATACTAATCTGCCCTTCCAATCAGATGTGATATGCGCTGTCCGGACGGAAAGCACGGCGCACAGTGCCAGCAGGACTGTCCCTGCCAGAACGACGGCAAGTGTGAGCCGGAGAGCGGCGCCTGCATCTGCAATCCGGGATGGACGGGTGATGTGTGCGCCAACAAGTGTCCCCTGGGCAGCTACGGCCCGGGCTGCGAGCTCTCCTGCGAATGCTACAAGGGAGCCCCGTGCCACCACATCAGCGGAAAGTGCGAGTGTCCGGCCGGCTACCTGGGGGAGCGCTGCTTCGACGAGTGCCCCCTGAACACCTTCGGCCTGAACTGCACCCAGAACTGCAGTTGCGAGAACGACGCCACCTGTGACCGGGCCACCGGCGCCTGCATCTGCAATGCGGGCTGGCGCGGGGATCGGTGCGAGGAGCGCATCTGCGAGCCGGACAAGTTCGGGCCGGACTGCAACCAGACGTGCGAGTGCGACATGGAGCACACGGAGCTGTGCCACCCGGAGACAGGCCGCTGTCAGTGCAGCATTGGCTGGAGCAGCGCCCAGTGCACGCGCCCCTGCACCTTCCTGCGCTACGGCATCAACTGCGAGCAGACGTGCAACTGCAAGAACGGAGCCAAGTGCTCCGCGGTCACTGGGGCGTGTCTGTGCGCTGCCGGCTTCCAGGGACCCACATGCGAGGAGAGCTGCGCGCCAGGAACCTTCGGACAGGACTGCGCCCTGCGCTGCGACTGCCAGAACGGAGCCAAGTGTGTGCCGGAGACGGGCCAGTGCCTGTGCACCGCCGGCTGGAAGAACATCAAGTGCGACCGTCCATGCGATCTGAATCACTTTGGGCAGGACTGTCGCGCCGTGTGCGACTGCCACAACAATGCCGCGTGCAATCCGCAGAACGGCAGCTGCACCTGTGCGGCCGGCTGGACGGGCGAACGGTGCGAGCGGAAGTGCGATGCCGGCAAATTCGGCCACGAATGCAGTCAGAAGTGCCAGTGCGATCTGCACAACAGCCTGGCCTGCGATGCCACCAACGGGCGTTGCATCTGCAAGCAGGATTGGGGAGGTACACTATTCGGGATGCCATTCACCTTTCCACGCCTTCCCTCACCTCAACTCAACTCACCTCACCTCAGGTCATTCATGAATCAATAAAGAAAACAGCTGCCGATGGCCCCCGTCTAACAGATAGATCATAGCACTAACCAATTGCACACATCCATCGCATCTATTCTCTATCCTGCATCTATTCTCTATCCTCATTTTTGCATGCATGTCGTTTGGTTTTACAAATTCTAATTAGCTTTTTCTGGTTCTCCTGCACTCGTGTGTTTCTGTTTCTGTTTTCGTTTCTGGTTTATTTTTTGTCGTCCTGTTGTCCCAACCCGACACCCAAGGCGTTCATTGCGAGACCAACTGTCCGACCGGTTACTATGGTGAAAATTGTGATAAAGTTTGCAGATGCTTGAACAATTCGTCCTGCGACCCGGACAATGGCAACTGCATCTGCTCGCCCGGCTGGACCGGCGTCGACTGCAGCGAACCCTGTCCGGCTGGATTCTATGGCATGGAGTGCAAGGAGCGTTGCCCAGAGATATTGCATGGTAAGTCGTGTCGCTTCGAAGTGAATCATCCAACCACTAATACTCCCCCTTGCTCCCCTGGCCTAGGTAACAAGAGCTGCGACCACATCACGGGCGAGATCCTCTGCCGCACTGGATATCTGGGCATCACTTGCGAGCATCCGTGTCCCGCCGGACTCTATGGCCCCGGCTGCAAGCTCAAGTGCAACTGCGAGCACGGAGGCGAGTGCAACCACGTGAGTGGGCAGTGCCAGTGCCTGCCCGGCTGGACGGGGGCCAACTGCAACGAATCCTGTCCCACAGACACGTACGGCCAGGGGTGTGCCCAGCGGTGCCGCTGCCTGCACCACAAGGTCTGTCGCAAGAACGACGGCATGTGCATCTGCGAGACCGGCTGGACCGGCACCCGCTGCGATGAGGTGTGCCCAGAGGGCTTCTACGGCGAGCACTGCATGAACGCCTGTGCCTGTCCGTCGGCTAATTTCCAGTGCCATGCGGCGAACGGGTGCGTCTGCCGCAGCGGCTACACGGGCGACAACTGCGACGAGCTGATTGCATCCCAGCGCATTGCCGAGGCCAGCGATGAATGTGAGTTCTCCTTCAATTGTGTCGATATACCATGCCCATTAATCCTATGAATCTCTGTATCTTATCTTCCATGTGTTCCATCAGCGGGTCGTGCGAGCATTGCCCTCACCCTGGTGCTACTCACGCTCTTCGCCTGCATTATATTTGCCGTCTTCTTGTACTACCGAAGGAGGGTGTCCAATCTGAAAACGGAGATTGCTCACGTGCACTACACGCACGAGTCGGCAACCACCTGGCCGCCCAGCAACCACAACTTTGATAATCCCGTGTACGGCATGCAGGCAGAGACGCGCCTGCTGCAGAACAATGCGCGAAAGATGAACAACTTTGACCAGAGGAGCGTGCTGAGCACCGAATACGGCGGTGACGACTCCAATGCCAGTGGCAGAGGTAAGTGCGATCGGATGGATCGATTTCTCTGGTGACTGGTGGCTGGTGGCTAACGATTTCATGTGCCCATCCACAGTGGGAAGCTACTCGATCAACTATAACCACGATCTGCTGAACAAGAACCTGAACGCGGACCTAACCAACCCGAACGTCTACAACGATTCCCTGAAGGAGGAGCATGTCTACGATGAGATCAAGCACAAGGAGGGCTACAAAGATCCCGGTACGTTCTCAGACAATTCTTTCCACAATTCTTTGCTCGACTTTATTTCAACTAATTATGTGTTCCCCACATTTGCACACATTTTGGCCAAAATCAGTGAAAATTTATAGCAAGATTTTGTTTCCAGAGGGTAAGCAATAGTTAGGCATCGATGCTGTGTATTTTAGTGCTTTGTCTGGCCCATTTTCACTCCTGTCCATTGTCCAATGTGACCGAAAGTACTTATCCAGAAATTGATTACTAAAACAAATCCTTTTTTTTACACTTTTCATAGGGGAATACGATCATCTGGACTACTCTCGACCAAGCACATCGCAGAAGCCCCACTATCATCGCATGAACGACACCATGCTGAACATCAACCACGATGAGGAGAAACCCAACAATCTGAAGAACATGACCGTGCTGCTGACAAAGCCAGAGCCACCCACAGAGCCAGAACCGCAGCACGAGAGCTTCGACAACACCAACATCGACAATGTGTCGACTGCTTCGCCCAGCTCTAGTCCAGAGTTCCGCAAATAAGCAATACACCACACCACACGTCACGTGGAATGGGATATGCTTTAAGTTGCAACTGCTGCGAACCATGATATTTTCAAGTGTCTGCATTTTAGCCTTATTTATTTGATAGCATTTTAGCTGTGTACTGTGTCTGTCCCCTTGTAGAATGGGCGTCTTGCATTCGATATACGAGTATGTGTGTATAATTGTTTCATTGTTCGTCAATTCGTTCAGAATATGTCGTAGGAGTAGGGATGTGTATGCTCAATTTTAATTGTAAATTGTTGTTCAGGAGCGACACAGCGTGTCGGCCTAACTTTTGTAAATGTCTTTCGTTTTATACATACACTTTTGCTCATTATGCTCATTCGATTCATTATATAAACGACTTATACTTATACCCTAAGTGAATACGTATTCAAATAAGTACCTATACACCTCTTCCTGTTAAGAAACGATTGTGCGTTGGACACTGTCTGCGTCTCCAAGAGAAGCTGCGCCCCCCCCCCCATATCGAAGGTTGCAATAATTTTAAATACGAGCAATGCGAGCAATGCGCATATACAAATTGATATCAATAGCATGTTAAGCATACGGTATTTATATTTTTAATAAGCCACATATTTGTAGAACTGAATTCGCAGCGAAGTGTTGAAAACATTGGTAGAGCATTCTATCTTGATTGTAATATCTGTAATATGAAAACGATTGGCCAAAATTGTAATTAGCTCTGTTTGATGGATTTTTTAGATCGAATATTTACACGTAGCTCAAATATTGGAAGTTTTAAAAATACATCAAATTTTGTTCATGTTGTAATCCAAATCAAAATGCATCTTTTAACTTAAAAGAGTTGAAAGAATGAATGTTGTTCATATACATACATAATCGGTCTTAGGAAGGCGAAGATATAAAATAAAAGAAGTATGAATATTTTAACATATTTTAGCGTTAATTTCATTTCTTTGTCTCAGCTATGTTTATAGGTACATATGTATGTAGATGTATGTATGTATATGTGTGTAGAAGTGGACTTTCAGGCTGAGCCTTGACACTAACCATACAGTATATGTATATGTATGTAGATATACAGTTCATACAACGAAAATGGCGCAGCTGAGGTTTCAAAGTACGGTCCCAGGTGATAGTACGTTCGTCAATTGTCGCTTTGGAGTTTAGCGGCAGGGTATTGTGGCTATGTCGTCTTGAATTCTGATTTGGAGCATTCAGAACATTCACTTCTCGGTGTGCTAGCAGCAGCCGGCATTCTACTCTATAACGGCAGAAAAAACGGAAGCGAAAAACTCTTTAAAACGCGTAATTTTCGGTGGAATTGTTCAATTTGTAAACAATAAAAATTCTACGCATTGCTTTTAGCTAATTGCATTCTAGTTTTTACATTTTTCACTTTATGTCAGCTTTTGTCAGCGAGCAATTACAATTTTTTATATCAGTTAGCTTTTGTCAGAGAGCATTTACAATTTTTGGTTTAATATCAGTCAGCTTTTGTCAGCGAGCAATTCTAATATTTCGTTTCATATCAGCCAGCTTTTGTCAGCGAGCATTTACAATTTTTTTTTTTCATATCAGTCAGCTTTTGTCAGCGAGCATTTACAATTTTTTTCTTTCATATCAGTCAGCTTTTGTCAGCGAGCAATTATAATTTTTTTTTATAATTTTTTTGTTTAATATCAGTCTGCTTTTGTCAGCGAGCAATTAGAATTTTTCGTTTCATATTAATCAGCTTTTGTCAGAGAGCATTTACAATTTTTGGTTTAATATCAGTCAGCTTTTGTCAGCGAGCAATTCTAATTTTCGTTTCATATCAGCCAGCTTTTGTCAGCGAGCATTTACAATTTTTTTCCTTTCATATTAGTCAGCTTTTGTCAGCGAGCAATTATAATTTTTTCGTTTCATATCAGTCAGCTTTTGTCAGTAAGCAATTATAATTTTTCGTTTCATATCAGTCAGCTTTTGTCAGCGAGCAATTAGTATTTTCGTTTCATATCAGTCAGCTTTTGTCATTGAGCAGTTATAATTTTTCGTTTCATATCAGTCAGCTTTTGTCAATGAGCAATAAAACCATTTTTTTGTTTCTTTTTTAATTTTTATTACAATTTTACATTTCTATTACATTTTTACATTTTTTCTACATATTTCCTAAATTTTTACATTTTTGTTTTTGTTTTTTTCCTAAATTTTTACATTTTTCATAAATTTTAATATTTTGTTTGACCCCCTTAAAGTATCTATACTGTATGGTTAGTGGCCGTGATTAGAGCTATCAGCGATATTTTTTAATCACAGGTAGCCATAGCAGGTGGCGCCCACCCTTTGATCACCGGCGATTTATTGAACTAGATTTCTTGGGTGGCGACTCACCTTAGATCGACGGCCACAGCTGGAACTAAATTAGATTAGTTCGAGAAATTACCGATCATTCTGGGGGCGCCAGAGTGCTGCCCTCGCCTTCTCGTGATCGAGGGATTTTCAGAAATGATGCCTATCAACATACTGGATCCTCACCATCCTGGGCCCGATCTGTGCTCATTTGGTCGAGACATAGCGTCCCGAACTTTTGGCTGCCCAATTCATTAATACTGTGTTTCTCTGTACACCGATCCGGTCATGGGATGTCTTTTCGTGACCAAGAGACTCCAGCCATTTTTTTTTTTACTACCAATATTATTAAAATAGTAATGAGATTTGCAGCCGGATCCGATGTATGTATCCACGATCCGATCAGAGGCGTTTCAGCTAAGCCTCAACTTTATTTAGAGCATTTGCAATGCGATACGTTTTCAATCTATATTTGTGGGAAATAGGGCAAGCCAGACCAGACGGCAGATTGTGGGGAAACCAAGGAGTGACGTAGACGATGTTGTGACTGTTCGAGGTGTGGATCTCCCTCTTCCTCCCTCCCCCCAAACGCGATATACTACAGTCTGGACAGGCAGCAATACGGTGCCAACAAGTGCACTAAATACACGCTCACAAGCTACCGTGGAATACCTGGGAATACCTATGCGTTGTTTAGACTGCAGAGTGTTAGTTTCTCCATTTCCACAGGCTGGAGATGGATACGCCGTGTGGATGTGTGTGTTTTTGTTTATCCGATTGCATGGACGGACGACGCAACGCATCGCAATATAGCTGGCTAGAGCACATACATACATGTATGCAGCAGCGACTGTGGCATCTTCTCCGGCTCCACTCCATCCCCGATCGCTGTCTATGGAAAACCACTATACGGCTCTCAGTCGGGTCAGTCGTCGCCCTCTCCTTTGTCCACGAGCAGGCTGGGATATGCTCTAGGCGTTTTATTTCTGCTTTTTCCGATAGCACATTTACAGTTATTTCTAAAAAACAATAAAATACAGGCATCGGCGTGGAAAAGCGCTACATATGTACATACATATACATAGACACCACCGATAAGATCCGATCGGACGGTCGGGAATTTCGTGTTCGTGTTCGTGTTGGGGTTTCTGTATGTGGCAAGTTCAGAAAGGCGATCCCGATGTTCTAGCTGTGTGCTATATTTTGGAAAACGCATCCGCGCAGCGTCGTAGTAGCTACGAAGATTCCACGGAGATCGGCTCGTGAGATTGTGATAGAACTCTAAACAAAAAGCAAACAGCACCAACATGAGCAGCGTCGTAAGGCCCCACCAAAGCGTTTCGCCTTAATGGGATATTAATTGTTTGTGTTTTCTCGACCGAACCAGGATGAAGATCTTACCCCCGAGCAGATTGCCGTGCTCCAGAAGGCATTCAACAGCTTCGATCACCAGAAGTCTGGCTCCATTCCCACCGAAATGGTTGCCGATATCCTGCGTCTCATGGGTCAGCCTTTTGACAAGAAGATTTTGGAGGAACTGATCGAGGAGGTCGATGAGGACAGTAAGTACAGACTCTAAAGTTCAGAAAATATGAGTGAAAATTCATTATTCATTATCGCCTGGTCTGGCGTGGCGTGGCCTGGCCTGGCCTGGCCTGGTCAGACTGGCCAATATTGATGATCAAATTCCATTTCGTCAGTGTCATTGATTTATTATCATCGTAATTTTGCGCGCCCGATCATTAGCTGTTTTTTCGACTCAGCACAGACAGTTTCCAGCAGTTTCGTCAGCTAATTATATATATGTGTGTCTTTCATAGAGTCTGGTCGCTTGGAATTCGGTGAATTCGTGCAGCTGGCTGCCAAATTCATTGTGGAGGAGGATGCAGAGGCCATGCAGAAGGAGCTGCGTGAGGCGTTCCGCCTGTACGACAAGCAGGGCAACGGCTTCATTCCCACCACCTGTCTGAAGGAGATCCTGAAGGAGCTCGACGATCAGCTGACGGATCAGGAACTCAACATGATGATTGAGGAGATCGATAGTGATGGTTCCGGTACAGTGGATTTCGACGGTGAGTCGTGGCCTCCACACAGTATTTTCATTCATTCTAGTGGCTTGCGTTTTGCTGCCCCACCCTCATGTTTTCACACACACACACACACGCCCACATACCCACCCACACAATCTGGCAATCATAAATTCGAATCTGATCATTGGGGCCAGCTGAGGATGATGATGATGATGCTGGGTGCTAGGTGCTAGGTGCTAGGTGCTAGATGCTGGGGTGATCTTGAGATCGCTCGATTATGACAACTTGATCACATCTCTCATGGAGCATATCGCTGGCTATTTTTAGGCGCGACACACAAATTCGATTCCGACCGCCTGGTCGAGTGGCACAACATTTTCCATACACATTGCTCGCCCCACGCCCCACGCCTCACGCCTCTCGCCTCCGTTTCATTATTTTCCACTCTCGTGTTTATGGAATACGAGTATTTATTTTTAAATGCATATAGCGGTTGTTATATGCGCCTCCTCTGGCATCGCATCGGTTTAATGTCTGTCATTTTGTTTAATTTACAGAATTCATGGAGATGATGACCGGCGAGTAAATAGACGCACTGCGTCTTTAGCCCACGACCACGCCCACACACACACCCGATACACATACACACACACCTGCTTCAAATGCACACACAACATACACACACACCCTATACACCTATACACCTGTTGGGCACACGTTTGACTGTTTATATTTGCACACTTGTTTCACTCCCACTCCCACTCCACCTCCCTCCTACCTTCACCTCCACGACTGTATTCCCTTGTGTTTTTCGGTCGGAGTGCAAACAAATCCAACAAAATAATGCCAAATACTAGTAGAAATAGAAATTTTGTACTACTTTTTTATACTAAAAGAGCAGCAACAACGGAATGCTGTGTATGCAAAAAATAAAGTGTTATGCTATAACAACAAACCACCAACTTGTTGTCTGTCCACTTCTTGCAGCCCCAGCTAGCTAGCCCCAAAGCCATCGACCACCGACCACCGACCGCGAGCCGCCAATCGCCAAGCAACCGTCGAGCTGTTGAGCCAGCAGCTGAAGAAAGCTGCCGAAAGCTTCCACAACTTTTAACCACGTTAACTCTACAAGTCTACAAACGAGCAGTGGCCTCGGACGCTCCCGTCCGCCGCCGTCAGCCGTCATTGTTGCCGCTGCTCTTGTCGCTATCGTTGCTGTTGCTGTTGCTGTTGCCGTTGCCCGTTGCTGCTGCTGCTGCCATCGGCTGATGGCATACGTACCGCTTCTGCTTCTACTTTCAACCAAACGGAACATAACCCAAAGGGGCCACAAAGTTTCCCCCAACAACAGCACCAGCACCCAGCCCCAGCAAAAGCAAAAGCAGTAATACCCCGTCGTGCCTTTGACATTGTCTTGTCTCGTGATATACATATGTATGTACATATGTGTGTAGTACGCGCCACAAGTGTTTGCAATTGATAAAGAAGCAGCAGGAGCACGAGCAGCAGGGATCCCTCCAACATGCCGCAGAGGTAAAAGAAAGTGATCCAGTCAGTGCCTAGTCGACCGTTATTTATATAATAAAAAACTCCAATCCACTCCGTTCTGTTTGTTTTGGCCAAAAAAGAATGTGAATGTGCTAAAAGCAGCCGCTGCCCGCCAAGAAACGCCACCACAACCGCCGGATCGGTCGTGCCTATAAAATTTATGATGGCATAAATGCTTTAAAAGCCCCAGTCAATCCGATGCGATACTCTTGTTTGTGGTTTTTCATTTTTCTTGACATTGGCTTATCAAATAAATTATAAAACAAAAATGGACCCTGATAAACGGCTTGGCTGTTGTAAATTTGTGCGTGTGTGTTTCAGTGCGAGTGAGTGAGTGAGTGATTGAGTGAGTGCATGTGTATGTGTATGTGTTGGCCAGACCAGGCCAGGCCAGGCCAGCATTTTGTGGCTTGATAAGCTGTTCTGTGTTTTTTTTTTCTTTATTTTTGGGAAGGCAGGCACTCGATTTTGTAATTCTTGCCATGTCTGAAAGAGTGCTGACACGCGCTGCAGCCGCGAAGCGAGTGATTCAATGCAATCCGATCGGACCCGTCCCGTCTCGTCGCGCCGTCTCCGCTTCATGGGGAGTGGAGTGCAGCGGAGTGGATCCGATTCGATGGGAACCCCGCCGTATATGCATGCGCATGCGAATGCAGCTCGTTCGAATCGGGTAATCGGGTAAATTGTGCTGTGGGTCCGCGGAAACCAGATGACGACGTCAGCGCCGATTGCTGTGGGACACCGTGTGACGTGAGTCATACAACAAAAACAACAACAACAAAACAACAACAACTGCTGTGAGCCAATTAACACCAAAGTTTGAATCAAATCAAGCAAAAATCTAACGCAAACTCAATTCACCAACGCAAACAAATCGAAATAATTTGAAATAATAACAGTACGTGGTCTCCCCTGCGCTCTCTACTCGTTTCTTGCAGCCCCACAACGAATTGGTCGTTCCAGCCGCTCCACCGCCAGCGCAGTGGCAGCGGGTACCACCAGCATGTCCTGAACACGGTGCCGGAGACGGCTATACTGACGACGCCCCCGCCAATCCGTAAACGTAAGTAACAAATTTTTGAATTTGAAACAGTCACAGCCGAGTGTCACAGCAGGCAGCTTGCTGCAGCACATCGATAGCATTTCAGTGCGTTAACAGCACGCGCATATAACAGCGACATAGCAGTGCGCACAACACTGTTGAATAATTGGCCAATTTTATAGTAGCCAGAAATGTGTCTATTTAATGCGCAAAACTTGCACGCAAAACCAAATTTAGCAATCAATAGTGAAATATGATTTTTAATATCTGGATAGATTCGAATATAAATTTTAAAATTTCAAGTTCCGTTGTTAAACTTACAAAATAGACAGGAACTAGCTGTAAAATAGCTGATTTGGCAGCACTGTTTCTCCCACTCTGTTTCGCATGCTTGTGCTTACCAACACTGGCGTTTTCAGTATTTTAATTAAACAACAACAACAACTAAAATAATAACAAAATTTACAGCGCTCACAATACAAATTGCTGGCGTTGCTGAGAACAAACGCAGATACATCCCAGCGCGGAAAAAGCCGAAGAGCGCAATGAAAATGCTCGTGGACACGGAGCGGGAGGAGGCCCTGAATCTGGTACGTAAATTAAAAAATGATGACAACGATCGACGGGACGGGACGGTACGGACAAACAGACAGACAGACAGACGTAGTGTAGTGCCATTACAGTTGCCGAAATGTAGTGCAATTATTCGGGTTCAGCATTGTGCGTGCCCCTATAGCCATTATTGAATATTGATTGATTCTGTGCCTGTTCTTTCTTCGTTTCCTCGCTAACCCCCGCAAATGCTGACTTTATTGATTTGTTCACGGAACGTGCCATTTGTCTGGTGGGACGACTACGACCTATTTCTGTGTCGGTGCTCTGCTGTGCTGTGCTGTATGGCTCTTTGGCGCTATCGCAAAACATACGAACAAACCTACAAACAAATATGCAAACACATTCCCGCCACAGCAAATTGAATTCGAATGGGTGCTGCGGCAAGAAGTACACGCGATATTGAAACAACTGCGAACCATTCTGGTGGTAAGTACTATGCAAAGCAAAGCAAAGCAACAACTCCAAGAGATAGCATAGCTAATCTGGCCCCCATTCCATTCCATTCCATGGCAAACCGACTCATCACACCTGCTGTGCCACACTGGAGGAGTGTGCGCATCGATTTCCTGTGCCGCTCTACGAAAACGAGGGAAAGAAGACTGAAAAGTTCATACTCACCGTGTCGCCCGATCAGCTGAAGGCGGTCCTAACCCTAACGGGCGATGCCATAACACAGGCGGTAAGTTTAGTTAATCATTCCATGTACATACATATACATACATACGAGTACATATGACTAATCGTGTGTGTGTGTGCTTGCAGGATATTAGCTTTAAGCTGTGCAAAGCTCCAAGCCAAACGCAACGTACCTCAATCACACAAGACTCGCCGTGGAAGCTGCAGCAGGTTCAGGATGCCGCTAATCATCTACAGACAGCAATCAATCACATTGACGACGTTGATGACTCTTATCACTTCAAGTGAGTCACATTCGACATTGTTTTCGAGATGCGAGGTTATTAATACTCTCATTTCCTCATGATACACGAGACAGAACCTCCGATGAAGTACTGCATGTGATCGGCAACATTCTGGATGCTTTGCAGCGGGGCCGCAACAGCCTGCTGGTGCCCAAGAAGAAACCCATCGACGAGCTGATCAAGGGGCGAAACATGAAGTCGCTGGTGCCCAATCTACCCGAGGATCTGGCCGTCAGCTTCTATCTGCAAAGCCACAAGCTCATCATTGCTGTCTATCAGCTCCTGAATAACCAGGGCACGATGCGGTTCGACTCCCGGCAGGCAGAGGCCTCTGTCCAGTGGCTTAACGATGTGCTGCTGCTGCTGATGAACGGCCAGAAGCTGTGCCAGCAATTAAAAGACAAGGTAAAGTGTTCCTCTGGGGGGATGCCTAGAACACGAAAGATACGGGGATAAACATGCTGTACAAGCATCCACACATCAATTAGTTCATTTTGGGGATTTACTTTGCTCTGATAAGGGCGTTTGCTCTTGAACTGATAACTCATTGGCATCGTCATCGTCCCGCCCCAAAAGAGCACATGGTGTCCCATTTTTTTCGGCACCCACAAGATGCTGGCAAGTTTTATTTAGTTGTTGGCCGCCTGCCAGCGCCATGCTGCAGTTCTTGACTGTGACGCAAGTCGGCAATTAAAGTGGCCCATATAAAGATGAAGATTGGCAACTATGGCCAATATATTGGGGGATGGGGTGGGATGGATATGGATATGGGTTGAGCATGAGTTATTTGTGTATTTTTAATTGTGACATTTGTACTCTTCCGCAGATTTCTGTGTTTTCGGTGTATAAAGATTTCACAGTCGGCTCCCGGTCGCCCTCGGCATTGTCGTACTGAATTTCAGGCTGGCAAACTGGCAGGCAGGCAGGCAGACAGGATACCCTAACCGATAAGTGTGGAATGGCGACAAAAAACAATAACAACAATAATAGCTAATAAAGAATCGTACGTGTAATAGCAAAGTAAATAATGTTAGTTGAAATGTTGCTACTGGAAACGGCACACCCACACCGACACCCATAATGCCCATTGCGCACTATATACCACATACATATATGCCTATATATATATATATATATATACTTCTATATACACGACAACGTTATACACATACAGCTAGTTTAATATACACAATCAGCATTCATGTTATAATACCATTACTATTACCATTACTATTACTATTACTAGTACTATAGGACTTGAGTTGAGTTCTGAATTCATCGATCGCTTCACGTCACTCCAATTATGCATCAAAATGCAACTAAATAGCATTAGGATGATAAATGAAAACTGAGATGTGTTTTTGTATGTCTAACTATTGAAATTGATAGATAATTATAGTTTATTCATATGTATGTGTAATCTATAATCTGTAATCTAATGTTAATGTTAATGTACCCACTATTTATGTTTGTCCGTGCAATGTAATCAATGCCCAGCAGCAGTCAATAACAGTCAGTCGTACAGTACTTAACAGTCGTGCAGTACTTAAGAGGGAGTTACTTATCTACAACTACATATATACAGCCGCATACACATACATATATTGCATATATGAACTTACATTTACATTGGCATTTACATACATGATATTGTTGTAATAAACCCAAACCGAAATGTGAACAGAATTTTTAATTGTACTAAACACCGTTTTGTATTCGTATTTGTAATCGTAATCGTAATCGTAAACGTATTCCGTATACCTGTTGTATATCTGTTGTTAATGGTTAAGTGCACCTAATCCTAAACTCTAATCCTAAACTCGTAATCCAAAGTCATTTGTATCGACGGCCTTTTACTTCTCGTTAACCCTAACGTTTGTAACCTGAAGAGTTTGTTAAGAGAGAAACGCAACGAAAACAATTATCACTGTACTTATTGAACATTGCAATTGCCTATGCACCCCCCTACCCCGAGATGCCTGGGGACAAAAAAAGAAGATGAAGACAACTATTTATGTAACATTAAGCGTACTTACTTTACTGTCCCACATTCATTTACTTGTTGTTGAATAAAAATTACATTTTACCAGCATTTTTCAAACTGTCCTCTTTTTCGCGCCCACCGTATGACAGCATCGATCGATAGCACAGCGCGGTGCTACCTATCGAAAGCTCACGAAAGCCCAGCTGCACGTACCTGAGAGTCGAGTCTGTCTGTTTTCGGGCATTAGACATTTCAAAGTCGGCAAGCAGACCGTTTGGATTGTTACTTTTATACAGCAAATTATCTCCTGGTAAGCGGGGTTTCTGATTTCGGAGTTTGTGGCTACTGCAGCCTGTGAGTCGTTAGCACTATGCTGTTCTAAATGCACTTCGGTACTAGCAATTAAAGCCGAAATGCCTAGATCAAGTGCTTTGACGTTTGAATGTCGAAATAGACATGGAAACCAGTTCGTGGTAATTATTGTGCTGCATGTGTTGTAACCGCCAAGCCAGCCAGCCCAGCGTCAACATTAGCGCATTTGTCTGATGCTGTTGTTGCTGCGAGTGTTTCATTGGAGTCTGCACAAAAGACGTTGGCTGGCCTTTGGACTGTGGCTGAGATGCTAAATAAAATCACATACTACTACTGTTGACCGTGGCCGAGTAACACACAAAGCGGAAATCGAAAGCTCAAAATGAACGTGAGAGGAAAAGTTATGATATGATTACTTGGATGCAGTAAAAGTAAATGCAAAACAAAACCAATTTTCTCCCCTATGATAATGAGAGTAATCAGGGAAACGACCAACGACCAACGACTGGAGCTATGAATTAAACATGTGAACTAACAAATACTCGTAGATCACCTTTGCTTACCTGTTAGAGCGTCACGTAAGCGTAAGACGAGCATTTGAAAACCCGCCTAGTCATTCCGAAGCAAGATTTGCTGACCCTCAAAGAAGGCCGTGATGAGCTGGTTTTAAATGGCTTTTATGTCCAGGTTTATGACAATCTCGACCACTTGCGACAGACGGCGACGTCTCATGGCGCATCAATTAAAGCTATTCTGGCGGAAATTTTAACTTGCATTCGGTCTCATTACAGCACTTGTCTTCTTGTAGCTACAATCCCAACAACCAGCTGCCATTAACCATAACCATTAACGAGACCAAACCAGCAGCAATGAGCAGTAGCAGTGGCAGTGACGGTGGCGGTGGCGGCGATGTGGTGCTCGTAACGGGCGGCAGCGGATTTCTGGGTCAGCACCTCATTAAGCAGCTGCTGGAGCGTCGCAATGAGCTGGGCATCAGGGAAGTCCGCTCGCTGGACATTGTGCCCTACAATAACAATATCGGCCATCCGGAGACGCCCATACTGCGCACCTTTGTGGGCGACATTGGTGTCGATCGCGAGAGCCTCGGCCACATCTTCGCCGGAGTAGATGGGGTCTTCCACTGCGCAGCCTCGGTGAAAATCGAGTATCCGCCCAACTACGAGGAGCTGGACCGTGTGAATGTGAAGGGTAAGTGAGACTGTCCGCTTGAGAGGCTCACCGACAATTAATCACTGATGCATACCAGGCACCCTGGCCGTGGTGGATCTGTGCATCCAGAACAATGTGAAGCGGCTGGTCTACACCAGCTGCACGTCCGTGTGCTTTGTGCCCTTCAAGGGGCGCAGCACCTTCTCGGCCGTCATCAATTCAACGGAATCCAAGACGGACACACCCACCCTGGATGGGGCCTCGCTGTGGGAGCAGGACAGCCAGTTCCTGATTGCCGGCTACGCCTCGAGCAAGCTGCGGGCCGAGAACATCGTGCTCAACTCCAACGGAGCCCCACTCCAGAACCAGCAGGGTGAGTCTTGGCCTACTGTCTTGGCTGTCGAGGAGCGTCATTCATTTACAACTCTCTGGCAGATTACTTGGCCACCTGTGCCATTCGTGCCCCGCTGACCTACGGCGAATGCGACTCCCACTTTGTTACGGAGACCCTTGAGTACCTGTCGACGCGCGGCTGGGTGTTCCCTCGGATAGCCGGAGTCGGGGGCAAACAGCAGCTGGTCTACGCCGGCAACGTGGCCTGGGGACACCTCTGTGCCTACAAGGCCCTGAAGGTCTCCAGTAAGGCGGTCAATGGCCTGCCAGTGTTCGTCACCGACGACACGGGCATTAACGACGTCTCGCGCTTCATCCAGAAGATGGCCCTGCTCGGCGAGCGGTTCAAGGTGAAGACCAGCTGGTGGTATGTGCCCCATTTCCTGTTCTTTTTCCTGGCCTTCCTGCTGGAGGTTGTGGTGCGCGTCGCCTATCCCTACACCAAATACCGTTTGCGCTACTCCCCCCGCGCCATCGCCTCCTACACGTCCTCCATGCTGATGTACAACCGATTGCGCGCCGCGATACACATGGACTACATGCCACTCTTTGATGCGGACACCAGTGCCGAGCGCAGCGCCAAGTGGTATGCCCGATGGTGGGACCAGAAGCAACAGGCCAACAAGCTCAAGAAGTCCAGCTGAGCTGAGATTTGCTCGGATTATCACTCGGATTATGTTGCTTGCTTTTCTAGTTTTAAGTTGATTTTTATGTACTGCCTCCCCCCACCAAGCTAGAGGTCAATAAATTGGTTATTGTTTTTGTTATAAATGAATTTGCTTTGATATATGAATCGGGAAAGTGGAAACTCACCAAGGATACTCCTTCCCCTACCACCATAATGAAAATACAGGATCCCTTTATGTTTTTGAACAATGTTCATATTTGTTTATTTATCATTATGAATTAATTTATTTATTTCTCAGTTATTTCATTATAATTTTTATTTCATATATATATATATATATTTGTTTGTCTTGGTTTTTCTTGTTGGTTGTTGTTTGTTGTTGTTTGTTTATTTTTTTGTTGCTCTAGAGCGTTTCTTTGCCGTTTTGTTTGTTTTTTAAACTTATGTTCCATAGCTTAACTTATTATGCCATTATTTAATTTCATTCTGTTTAAAATCATGTTTTAGTTTTCTGCTTTTTGTGTGTGTGTGTATGTGTGTGTTTGTGGTTCAATATGCGATGCGGTTGCTCTTCTGCCGATCTCTACCAGCTCTCTTTACCTCTATCTCTCGTTCTCTTTGTCGAGGAGTTCCTCGCACCTTACGCTCCCATCCCACCCACTCCTCGTACGTGTCATTGCTTTACCCTGCATATATGTAGTACTGTGCTGTACTGCTTGCTGGATGTACTCTATGTGGATGTGGGCGTGGGGTGAGGTGTGTGTGATGTTCGTTCGGGTCTCTGTCTGCCTAAAAACTTATGCAATTTCGCTGCCGTCCGAGTGGGTTGTTTGCCCCCATTTATTTTTCTTGGCGTGTGTGTCTGTTGATAAATGTAGATGCTGTTGGTTTTGCTGAGGTGTAGTGGTGAGTGGTGAGTGGAGAGTGGTGAGTGGAGAGTGGGTGGCTGATGTTGTGGCTGGGATGTGGATGGTTGTGGTGGCTGTTCTGATCGGCTCTGTTGCTCGAGGGTCCTTATTAATAATTGAATTTCTTTAACCGCCAGCATGCGTGTCCGCCAGTTTGTTTGTTCTGTTCATCGAATGCTTAACATTATTGAATTTAACTATATGTTTATTTGTTGTTCTTGGTTATATAACTATGTATATATAATATATATATCATTTGGTTTTTTTTATATGTATATACGGGACAGCGGGGTGTCCTATGAAGGTTGTTGTTTTTTTTTTTGTTCTGTTTCTGCCTCATCGGTCGTAGTAAATATACAAATTCGTTACCGGATTTCTTTATAGAAATGAAAAAATTGTTTATTAAATTCATGTTATGCTTCTATTTATGTGTATGTGTCATCATCATCCGTCCACTTCCTTCCGTTTCCGTTTCCGTTACCGCTTCTGTTTTTGTTTCTGCTTCTGCTTCTACTTCCGTTTGTTTGTTGCGGTTTCTGGTTGTTTAATTATTATTATTATTATGTTTTTTGTTTTGTTTTGTTTTGTTTTTGTCTGTTACCTTGTATAGTTTGCTGTAAGTGTAGTACTGTACCAGTTTATGTTATATATATGTATAGACTTTATGTACACATATTGGCAATGCCACCCGCGGCCCATCTCTCGCATCCAACATTCGTCATTCCCCCATCTCCCATCCAACATCCTTTATCCGCCATCAACCCATTATCCCTTCATCCCAATGTGTCCATTTGGGACTTACTCGCTTATCTCATCTCATCTCATCTCATTTCATTTCATTTGGTTGTGTGTGTGTGTGTTTTTTTTAAAGTATTCGCACTGAAAGTTCGAGTCTACGAGCTCGTGGCTCTGTAGACAGTATAGCCATACTGTTGTATGCTGTATGTATGTTGTATGTTTAATTGATTCATCTCCTGGGCTCCTTAATTACTTTACTTACATAGGTAGAATACTTACAAACTGGGGGCCCTGCTTTGGGGCACTTTATAAATGTATTTTCATCATCATCGTCTTCGTCGTCGTCGTGTTGTCGAATGCAATGCCTTGTAATATCGAATCATTGAATTGCGTCGCGTTGCGTCTTTTGATCCGCTACTTTCACTCCTCTTACTCTTACTCATACTCTTGCTCATTATCTTTGTCTTTGTCTTTCTCAAAAGATTCCCTTTGACTTTTATGTGTATAAAGTATTAAAATGATTTCATTTTGCTTGTTTACGCATTTCTTGTAAATACAATTTTAACGTCACGACGTTCGCCAATGTCTTCGCTTCGTTTCGTTTCGTTTATGTATTACTCGTACTTGTATTTTTTTTTAGTTTTAGTTTTTTGTTTTGGTTTTTGTTGGTTTTCTTTTCTTTCCTTTCATTTTGTTGTATATATTAATATATAATTTTCCATATAGTATAGTGTAAAATATATAAGAGATATTGTCAATATAGTAAAGGTGTTTGTCAGCAGGAGTTCTGCCACATCGAACTGACACATTCCTGGGGGGAATTTCTTACTTATAGCAAAAATAGTCAAGTGATCGTTCGTATGAAGGTTCTTTTGTATGGTAAGTATTCTTCTTCGTACATATACTATGTGTTATATGCCGTGTTCTTCTGTCGAGTGTGTATGTGTGTGTGTATGTATGTGTGCGGTGTATTTCGTGGTGTCTGTACATATGTGTGTGTGTGTGTGTCTATAAAAACAAAAAATAACAAAACTGAGGATAGAAATGTCTTGTGTAAGTATAAGATTGCTATCATATAAAAGCACGTCAAAGTGTAGAAGGCCCACAGTGTGTGGTGTATGGTGTCGTTTCGATTTCCCAAGAGCCTCCCAAGAGCCTTCCCTCATGCGCCTCTCAGCGAGGCTTCAACGTGGAAGTGTCTGATCTGTCCTCCTTGTTTGTTTTGGTGTTGTGGTTCGGTAAAAAGAAAGATTCTTCGATCGTTAGCGCCTAGACATTAGTTAAATTGTATTTCATTATCGTAGTCGTAATCGTTATCGTTATCGTAATTGTAATTGTATCGTATTTGTTGATGGTGTGGCATATACTCATACACATAATTAGAACTGATATGTTTTTAAGTCAATAATAAGAGAAAAACGGAAAGCAGTTCGTATATGGTAACTACGTAACTTCTCCTCAACTTCATTCTCAATCTATATCTTCATGCCTGCCCATCCACTTTATAACTATTTTACATTATACCTTATGTCTGTTAGTGCCGCTTTTCGGTTTGGTTTGGTTTTGGTTTTGGTTTGCTTTCCCGGCTTTAACCACCAATTGACATTTTTGACTGAAAACTGCATATACATTTGTATGTATGTATGTATGTAGCTTAAAGTATGGGTACATTATTTTTAAAAAATCTTTGACGGCATACTCTTTTTTATACACACAATTCTTCGCTCTGCATTCTGCATTCTTCACTCTTCATTATTATTCATTATTTGCTCTTCGTTTTCTATATAAAATGAGAGTTCTGACTTTATAAATGTTTCTCTTTGTTTGTTTTTTATCTTTATCTTTACCTTTGTTCTTGTTATTTATTTAATTAATTATTTTTGTTCAATTTAAAGCTTTTGCGCCTGCGCCGTCGAGTTTCGTCGCTCCTCCGCCTCTGCCGCCGCCACTGTTTGTCCTCCTACGACGGCGCCTCAGTAAAAAAATAATGAAAATGGTTTTTCTCTTTCTTTTTTGTCTTTTCATTGTTTTGTTTTTATTTCTAAAAAATGTGTTTGTTGTTTTTGTTGTTGTTGTTGTTGTTTTTGTTGTCTTTATGTTGCTCTCTGTGCTGGCTTTTGTTGGTGTAACTTGTTCTAATTGACTGAAATTGATTTTGTTACAAGGACGCATTGCTTGTGGCTGAAGTTGATCCGGTATACCAATAGTTATTATATGTATGTATGTATGTATCTACTCGTACGTATATGTAGATGCTGGATGTCTTGTGATCTGCGATCTGCCATCTGGTATAGCTGCTGATGAAGTTCTTTAACAATAGTGGATAGAGCACTACAAATCAGGGATAAAGCATTTGCACTACTCGTAACGAACGTTAACAGGGAAATGCTAGACAAAATTCAACGTTACACTTAAAGCTGTCTCTTAAGCGGACACGGGTCACGGGACACGCCCGGAACCAATCTCAGAAATCCAGTTCCAGTTGTCCTGTCTTTCTACACAATTTTCTCACGAATAATATACGAGTACAAAAGTTGCCAGCGGCGCTACAAAGATGTACTTTTGGGCACAGCTGCCTCCTCCGAAAATCCAAAAAATCAAGACTCGAGTCAGACTACTCGTACGACAGTCAAAGGAAGGATCAAAGACCGATGAACGATGATCGAAGATCGAAGATCGATCACCGACAACAGATCAACCCATGCACATCGTCCGTTGTGCATTTTTGATTGATTCTGTGTGAGTTTTCCTTGCCTTACAATCAATCGTTTACTTTAATATATATATATATTTCATTACGTGTAGGTGTATATATATTTTTATGTATATTTATATATTGGTGTATATTTTATGTATTCCTTTTGGGGTTTGTTTAACTTCGCGGCTTGTTCGTCTCGAGTTTTCCTCATTCTTTTTCGGTTTTTTGAATTATTGCTTTTAGAACATGTCTTAAAAATATATTTATTTATATATTTATATGTGTATATATATGTATGTATATGCCTTAGAAGTAGGTTTAATATATATATATTTTATGCAAATATAACATGTTTGCCCTTCTCGCTGCCTTCCTTCCTTCCTCGCTCCCTTCCTTCCACGTTAAAAATATCTGCCATCGCAGGGGCAAAGCTGCAGCTGGAATACTTTCAAATAACCCCCTGACCTGCTGACCTGCTGAGTGCTCAGCGGAATCTGCACTAAAGTAAACCTCATCATGCCCTTGTCATCATGACTCCGACTCGTAAAACACCCGTTCAAACTCTCCTCACATCTTCTCTCGATATGCCCGCGATTGGCAATGTGGCCTGATCTTTTGTCTATCTAAAATTGAAGAGTTTCCGTCTTTTTTGCTTCAAATATTCATTTCTCTTCTTGGTTTTGTTTTTTGATTATACAATACATAAGTGTGTAGATTATTCGGGATTGTTCCCGGCGGGTCATGCACAACGGCAAGGAGATTCACGCTCGAAGAAATTTCCGA